CTCCTGCAACACTCCCCAGACAGCCTTAAGGACAAGGACAACTAAAGTGCTCAGGAGCACCAGAGTTGCGACTGGTTTTGGAAGTGGCAAACAGATGCTGACACCAGTACAAGCTGATGCGTTTCAGTTCAGGTTGCAACAGAGAGTGGTTCACAAGTGGATTCAGGAGTCCCTCCTGAAAGTGTGATGGTTTAAAAGTCATGAGATTTGGACAGCTCACCTCAGGAGCTAAAAAAATGAGAGTGGACAAAGGGGGCCCTGACCCTGATTTTGATTGTCTTTTGGAATATTTGGGATGCTCCAGAAGACTGAAAGGCACAAATATTCTATAATTTATTTTTGCAAATGCTCTATAATGTATTTTTTAAAAGGATACATGAGATAACTGGGATGATCATAGGCTTGCTGGCCTGATGCTGATCCCAGGCAAAATAATTGCACAACTGATTCCTGATTCAACTGACAGAGAATTAAAAGAGAATAATGGAGTTGGTACCAGTCAAGATCCTGCCAAATGGTTTTGATGAGATGAAAAGTTTGGCTGATGAGGATATTGCAGTTCTTCAGGGTGTTACTTAGCATTATGTAACAAGGAGCGATTTTAAAAAATGCAAACACATTTGTAACTGGGAAATTGCCATGAGGCAGATGAATTTATAGAGCAATTCTTTGCGAAACTGTTTGTAGCCTGTGTTTTTAATGGTTTCATCAGTGTCCTGGAAGAAAACTTACAATCATTACTGAGAGTTTGCAGGCAGTGCAGAGGTAACAGAGTGAGGAAGATGATGGGTTACAGACCCATCTGAACGCTGTGCATTTAACACAGAGCAATGTCACCAAATATTCAATATTACTACTAAATATTGAATATTGGCTTCATTTCAGCCACTGGGAAATGGATGCTGGGAAAGGCTTTTGGAAGCCGTGGTGGGTTCCCAGCTGGATACTGATGCTCAGGGCAGCCAAAGGGCTGGTGTGGCCTTTGGTGTACAAACCCATGGGTGGTGTAGGGATTTTGTAACCCTGCCTTTTGTACGCAGCACAGCCGGTGGCCGACACACCAGTCAACGCTTTATTAGAAATTAGGATATTCCGCAGAGAAAGCCGTGACAAGCTGTGCCAAAGGACCGCTGTTACAACATTCGCAAACAAAGTTTTCTGCCCAGAATAACAATAAGGTCTCGTAACTTTGATCAATTAACAATGAAGCCCTGCCACCTCTAAGCATGTCCTGCTTAGTCACTGCTCAGCATCTTAGCATGGGCAACTTTCCCCGGCATACTAAGTACTCCCCAGCACCTCCTTCTCGCTGTTGAGCTTACCCAAAGATCCCGCTCCTTTGTCCCTCCCTGCAGGCCAGGTTGCTTTGCCACTCTCAGCATCTTTTCTGAGTCACTCAGAGGAAGTAAAGGCCACGGGAATTTCTTCCTAATGGGCAGGAAAATCGCTGCCTCCCCTCAGGCTTTCTACTAAATCATAGCAAGCAACTGTTATTTCCACATTAGCATCTTTCGCATTGGTTACAGTAAGCAGAGAGCCCTGTTGGTAATGTCACTGATAGTGAGTACATGCGTAAGCATGCAGAGAATCAGCTCTCCAGGTTGTGATCCTGTTAACTCTCTAGAGACCACATCAAAGTAAAATAAATACAAAATGAATAAGCAGGCAGGTTTAAGTGATTATTCATACAGTTGGGAGCCACAGGCTCTTACAGAGTTGAACTTACTGTGGGGTTTGCAGGAAACTGTTCTTACCTCTTGGCAAAGAGAGTATTTGTAGAGCCCTAAATAGGACGCAGAAGCAAAATGGAATTTTTGACTCTTGGGCCTTGCACTGCCCTCTTTGGGGCTTCCTTCTGGGGCTGGTTAATAAGGCTGGCCAAGAACCCTGGCTTTGCAAGTAGCATCTGGTGTTTGAAAGGCTGGCGTTGTTTGCACCAAGAGCAGACGGTGTGATGTGTGATGGTGTTACAAGTCAAAAGTGCTCAAAGGACTCCAGCCATCAGAATGATAACAAAATCATACGGTTTTGTGCTTGAAATGTTACTGCTTTTGTGAAGATAAGAGTGTTTATAAGCTTCAGTCAGCTCTTAGCGCCTTCGCATTTCTCACCAGCAATGAGAAAGCCTTGTATCAGCAGCATATGGTTAAAGGAGAGCTGCATAGCTGTATTTCTTGGGCCAGGGACACAACGAGTTGGATATTTACCTGTGTATTTTCCTTTCTCAGTTGTGCCCCATTCATTTGGAAGAACAAGTGTAAATCTATCTTTGAATAGTCTGCAGTGAAATTACTTTTTGTGAGTAAAATGGTACCCTGCTGTGAGATCAGTTCCTAAAAACTAGAAATTTTTGACACATTATTCAGGTAATAGGGACCGAGTATGGCTGACAATCATCACGTTATCAACAGGGACTCTTGCTAATAGAGGCAGCTGGAAAGGCAAGTGCAAACTTCACAGGCTGTTTTGAACCCAGCTTCGTGAGGACCTGAAACTCCCAGGTAGCAGTGATGCTTTTGGCTGTATGTGCAAAATGCACGTGCTAAACAAAAAGGGACACATTTAGGGCAGCAGGAACAGGATTCTTCTCAAGTATCTCAAGTTTCCCGAGTGTCACTCAGCTTTCCTCCAAGTCCAAGCATCTTTTCTTTCAGGCAGTAATGCAATCACCCATCCTGGCCCTTTCCATCCTCACTGTCACCTCCCAGAACATCCCAGGGTCTCACAGGAGATGCCTGCAGTAACTTCCACTTGAATGGGAGTTTTTGCTGACCCTGTCAGATGGATTGTGAAGTTACCCAGGACAAATCTTTGAGATTTAATCACAAAGTAACATCTTTGTGATTAATCACTTAATCACAAAGTAACATGGGCATTCCCAGGCTAATTTTAATTTTGTGCACATCATACAGCAAACACATACAAAAGTGGTGTATTTTGAGCAGGGCACAGTTTCCTTTTGCACTTACATACAGGCTACTAGGACACCTCCAACTTCATGCTAAGAATTCAGGTCACTAAAAGGAACTTTCTCCTATTCACCAGCTTATGATGTCCTCAGTCAGCATTTTATTTTCTGTAGGGTTTCAGTACTGGTTTATATAGCTCTTCAGGCAAGTCACTTGGTATAGGACAGTAGGGACTTGATTTTGCTGAACAAAATGTAAAGAAAGGGTCTCCGGACAGTGTCTCATCTTTCTGCCCATACACAGGGGCAAAAGAAGAATTTTTTTCTTCTTCCTCCGTAACCTTTCTTCTGTATGAAATTGGGGAAAAAGAATCCAAACACTTTCTTGCAACACCCTCTGAAGAATATTTAGTGTACTAAAACTAGCTGTGGTTTACATGTTTTTCTCCTATATTCCACTCAAGAACTTGTACTGAATTTTTTGATTGCTGCTATATGCTAAATACACAACTCTCGTTACAAGACGGATACAGAACAGGTTGGTGAGACTGTTAAGCTTGATTGCCCTTCTGACTTTTTCAAAATCGAAGCATTTTCTAAAGCCATCTGATGACACTTAAAAAAGCCTTTTTTTCCCTAAGAAAAAAAAGCATCTACACTCTCCTGCTTGTATACTTCAGCATAGCACCTACACCAGTGGTCTAGCAATAAGCAGTGAAGCATCTACACCAGATATATTAAGCGGGTACAAGTCTCTGGAAATGCTAACTTTGTCCAACATAAAGTCCATAAACTCACATGGCACAGTACAGTATGTCAAATGAAACAGGGGTAAGTACATTGATTGCTCGTCTTTACAGATACATAGCACATGATGAAACACTGTAGGAATTTGTTACCCATGTGAGGCACTCTGCATAGGTTCTGTATGCAAACTACTGAACATAACGCTGCTTTGTCCATGTTCAAAGCAGAGAAGGTGCCTAGGCAGGGGCGTAGTTACTGTCCAGTTGAGTGCTCAGAGAATAGTGCAAAGTACTGGGGGAAGACCACTGTAAAGCCTGCCTTAATACTTTTTCAGTGATTCAAGTGCTTGCTTTTAGATTGCCAGCTTAAGACAAAGCCCTAAATGCCAGATTTTACAGGTGTAAAGACCAAAAACCAATGAATAAATAGAAAAAGAAGGAACACTAGATAATTTTTCTGGATATTTATTTGAAGCTAACATTATCTCTGAATACTTTACTGAAACAAAACACACAAAATAAGTCTGAGAAGGTACCTTAAAAATGATGCTTATTTAGTCTTGGAAAAGCCAGTCTTAATGTTGGGTTAATATCTGTTTAATTCTCCTACTGTGTTTCAGGCTCAGGAGAAAAGCACTGTATCTCAAAAATACTCCAGAGTTAATCAGGGATGTGGCAGCATCTGTTTAAGAGAGACCCATAATTGAATCATCCCTAATTAACCTATCACCTCAGCAGAAGGCAATGAGATATTGGTACCACCACTGAAATGGATGAGAGCAATGGGGATGAAAAGAGGGAAGGATGCAGGAAAGAGAGCGAAAGCAATTTGCGTAACACCTAGTTTTATAACAAATTTGGGAGGAGGGTGGGAAAAGAAATTAAAGTATATGAATCATTAAATCTGCTCAGTATAGTTAATCAGACTGTAGTTTCTAAAATATATGAGCATATTTACATGTTAATCAGCGCATGATTTAGGTCCAAGGAATGTTTTCTCCCTTGTATGGTTTGGCCTGTTTACAGTATTTACAGATTTTTGTTATTATCATTACTGCTGACCTAATTTATATTTGTAATAATTATAATTTCAAACCAGAGAAAGCCTTTGAAAACTACTGGGCAGAAAATAAAAGCAATGTCAGAAATCTCAACGTAGGAAATGCGGCATCTGTTGTGTATTTATTGAATGAAATGACAGCACAAATCAAAATGAGGTATATTTCCTATTTGAAATAAATCTCACAGAAGTACACAGATCCTGAAAAACACTGCTTGATTTAATATTGTTGTTCTATTTTGTGCTAGCTAGCTAATATACAGTAATTGCAATTTGTTTCATGCAGTGCCCTGCCAGACTGTTTTAGATTATCTGAAGACTGTACTTCAGCATCACAACCAACTTCTGGTACCGCAGCCAGCAGACCATCCGACTGAGGTAGTATGCAGCAAAGACAAGCTACATATCCTTGTGTTTGAAAATTCATTGAAAACCTGTAGGCAAATAAATCAGGAGGTACTGGAAGAATACATGTAGTAGTAAAATATGTAAAATCTTTTATTAAACTGTCATTCTTAGCTACAGTAATCCCCAAAATGGAAAAGCGTCATCACTACTGTAATATAGGATGACTTAGTGAGCAGTGCATAACTCCCTTCATTTGCATCCACTGCACTTGCACGGATAATTTTTCTCTCCCCTTGCTTCTGGAGCATCACTGATGGGTCATAGGTGGACTTCAGGCTAGGGCTGGGTTGGTGAAAAATGTAGCTGGAAGCATGGAGCCCATTGTAGTCTCCCCTTTGCCCAGAGAGTAGGAAGGTGTAGGGTGGCTGCACACAGGGCGTTCATCCTGTGGAGCCAAGGAACTGCCAGACGTAGGAGAGGGAGGAACTGGAGAGCGTTAAGTTGAACGCTGGGCTTGGACAGCATGGAGAGGGGAAATCTGCTTTGTAAAAAAAAAAAAGTGAGGCTTCATACACCTTCCCACAGAGCCTTCTGTTGTCAAATGCATCCCTGAGCTCTGAAATGCACCTTATTTCTCTTTGTGGTTTTACCACCACAACCATTATAAGACTTCGGAAAGTCTTTGGAGCACACTTTTCTTTTCAGAAAGTATCCCAAGCAACATGTTGTGTCTTGGCTAGTTTGTGCTTAATGTAGATATTAGGAATTTTGCAATTATGTTCCTTTTGAAAGTGCTGCAGTGAAAAAAAAAAAGAAAATTCAAGTCCTCTCCTCTAGAAAATAGACGTATAGATGTAGGTATCAGCTCTAATGTAACTCATGTTAATTTTCCTCCAATATGTTTCTATCTAGGCATGTAAAAATGCCTCAGATGAAGTGGTTTTGTTGAGACTTTTCTAGTTGAGACCATCTATATTTCAGGATCTCGTTATGCATGCTTTCATATATATAATCTGTACTTGTCAGTACCCAACATTCACGCTAACAAAACCATAGGAGGGAAGACAAAAGTCTAGTCTGACCTCCTATTGCTCCTCATATAAATTATATGTCATGCAAGCCTCGCATAGTCCAATATCCCATCATTTTGCTGAAGATGCTTTGCAGCAGTTCAGGCTTTGCATCGGTTTGCTTCTCCATTCAGTTTTTACCCCATGCAAATTGATGTATATAATGGTTATATATCATTAGCTGTTATCACTCAAATATATTCCAATATTTCATGTTCCTTTTTTAATGCTCTTCTGCTTAACTGAAATTTTCCAGCACTGTAAAAGTAAGGCTGCTTTGTAATGCCCCACATGGAATAGCTTGTCATGATGTGACAGAATTTTTTATTCAATTAAACACATAGATGCTAATCTTTTATTCATAAATTTAATCATGTACAAATACAAGCACGAACGCATTTTTACTGTGGCTCTTCCTCCAGGATCTGCTTATTTCATTTCTGGAAGGTTTTCTGTTTGTTTAGTGTAATGACTGCTGGACGCACCAAACTGCATCATATATTTACCAAGGATCTTTTGCCCAGAAGTGCTTTACTTTCGCACAAAGTAATGAAAGTGTATCCGTAGCAGGAGCGCAGTAATTGTTTAACAGAGTATCATAACACTATATCAAGCCTTTAGAGAAGAATGAAGAAAAATATCCTAAATTTCAGTGGGAATAAGAGAGAAGTGTAATAAAATTTGGTCTGAGGAAATTAGGCAAAATTTATTACCTTCTCCATAGTTAATAGTAATGTGAGCTCTCATGAAATTTAGATGTCAGGCCTTTCTGCGCTAGGCTTGGAAGACCATATTTCCATCAGTGCAATGCAGTTAAACGGTAGCTTTTAGGATAACGTGCTGCTTAGCAAAGCCACAGATGAGCATCCAACCCTAAGACACGTGAGCAAGCCTGGACGATGACTTGCGTTGCGCTGCTTCTGCCTCTCAGGCTCAACAGCAAGGCAATACCCACAGTTAGCTGCAGCTCGTACTTCCCACCAGTACCAGTAAGAAAGGTTCTTGGTTGGAAAATAGTTAGATTCATATAAAAGGGATGTTGAGCAAGCTGCTAAATATGCATATATATATATATATATATCAACATGGGGATCAGGTGGTCCTGTGCATTGCATCTCTGATGGAAAAAGCCAAGGAAGTATTAGTGTCAGCTCCCACTGGGTTGAGATCTTTGGCCATCAGAACAACAAAGCCCTTCTCCCCCTTTATGTTGTGGCTTCCATTGTTGAGTTTTGGGTTTGCTTGCAGGTGACTTTGCAGCAGTTTGCACCAAGGCTGTTGGGTTTGCACCAAGGTGAACAAGCAGCACCCTATCATGTAGGCTGAGCTCCCAGCAGTGCTCCCCTACATTGGGAGATGCCAATGTCCCAATTCATACAAATAGACTCTCCCTCATCACAGTCTTCACTAAATTCAACCTTCTGCGTATTCATCAAATTTGCAAAAGAAAATAAAAGCAAATACCTTCAAAGATGCTCCTAAGCTGCCTCCCAGCACACTTTTATAAACATATGAAAGGAGGCGAGGGAAGTCCTTAAAATAGTTTTCAGATATCAAGAGATGCAAAAGCAAGGAGGATAAATTTGCAACAGTTGGCCACAAGCGCAGCAAGCAGGTGATTGCCTCTGTTGAACCTCAGACACAGGTTTTTCTCATTTCTTGTGAACCCCTACCTAAGCTGAGTGCTATATGAAGCTTGCACTAATTGGGCCTCCAGATCTGCATGCTTTGATAAACAGGTGTAGCTGTACAAGTGGATGAGTGTCTAGGAGTGTGTGGTTTGGGTTATTTGTATGCTTTATTTACTTGTTAACAAGCAAGTTAACAGTATTTTCAATAGAAGATGCTATTAACAATACCATCTTTTATTAATCAACTAATCCTGAACTATTTTATAGGCAGCAAGAACTCAAGTAATACAGTTTAGGTACAACTGAATGAGAGGGCTTATAAATGTGTGTGGATTACAGGAATTCCCATAATTAGTCCTGCAGCATTCATTTGACGTTGGAATATTGAAGCACACAAATTACAAAGGTTAAAAGCAAAATTTCTTTCCAGCTGACATGGTGGCATTTCCGTAAAGCTGTAATTTGAGTTAATATGGCATTCATTAATAGTAATGAAGCTTTTAGTTTTCGTAGTTGCTTTATTTATTTTCTTTATACTTTTCACAGTAACATAACTGCTGTCAGATTTCAGGTGTGCACTACAGAAGTAATAAATTTATTATAAAAATAGAGCCACCTCTGAAGTAAGCTGTCAGGTGGTATGAAGTGATCCATTTGATCATGCTCTTCAAAGACCCTTTTTATGCATTTTAACATATTAAGAAGAAAGGTTATATCTGAATAGCATATCCAGTCACTAGTTCTTAACACTTTTTAACCTACTTGTTAAAGTGCAGATTATCAATGGCCATCTCTCAAAATGTGTGCCTTGCACCTCGCCAAGTTGTAGTTGTAGAAAATGGAAATCTAATTTTAAAAGTACTTAGAAAAGGCAGTTTTTGTTCACCACGGTGTGTGTTTCACTGTCAGCATCTCAGCTAGTTAAAATGCATATTTATTTATTGCAAATGACATTTTACCTGTTTGCCTTGTAAAATAAGCAGTGGAAATATTTCATTTTTCCAGGGGAGCAAGCAGTTGCTGAACAACTATCCTGTCTACATCACTAGTAAACAGTGGGATGAGGCTGTAAACTCTTCCAAGAAAGACGGACGGCGACTCCTTCGATATCTCATCAGATTTGTTTTCACAACCGATGAGCTTAAGTACTCATGCGGCCTTGGGAAAAGGAAAAGGTCAGTGCAGTCAGGAGAGACAGGTCCTGAAAGACGTCCTCTGGATCCCGTAAAAGTAACATGTCTCAGAGGTACTGCATCCTTTCGCTCAGTGTCCACCATATGTGATCTCATTTCACCACATTGGCTCTGGCTCAGTAGAAGTGTTCGGCTGACAGTTGCAGACCTAGACGGGGTTTCAGAGACAGGTGGCAAGCAGCCAGAAACCCTCCCCATTTTTTTTAATACATACATTCATATATGTATGTATTATGTATATGTATATAGATATTTGAATGGGAAAAAAACAGGGCTGCTTATTTAAGGAGAGGAGACAAATACAAGCTGCATGACACCAAGGTACTTGAAAGGAAAATCAGACAGTCCTGGTTGCCTTATTTTATAGTAAAACAACAGGGCATTCTTTGACACTGATATACAGCAAAATTAACAAAAAGAATATTTTTTAGCCAAACGTGTAGTTAGTGCTCAAGGCTACAGTACATTATTGAAGTCAAAACCTTACCAAGATTCAGAGTAGGTTTGAACTTTTTATAGGGTCAAGAACATCTACAGGTTAGTTAGATACAAAGTGTACAGAAATGCAGTGTCAAGGATTTAACTTCTTCTTTGGAATGCTGATGCAACATCAACTGCAAAAGTTAGGGAATCACTTTCCCTCATGTTTGGCCTCAATAGGAGGGGAGTTTTGCAAGTATTTCACAATGTCAAAGAGAGAGGATGTTGGACAATACAGAGAAGGGACCTACGTTGGGAAGAATTTTCCGCAGTGGCAGTTCATACTTTGGTTTTCTACATTTTTAAGACCTGTTACTTTATAATGAAACATACAAAAACAGGACTTTTTAAAGCCCAGTTGAAACATTTTTGTAGTATCAGTGTCTGCATTTCATAAATGCAGCTGCTTATCATTTCTGCAGTTAATTTATAGCGCTCTATGAGCACATACATAAAATTTAGATTGGACTGACTTCAAGACTGTTTTCCTAATCAATGCAGTGTAAATTGCTAAATTTTCAACAGCCGGCAATAATATTCTTAGTCATTTAACAGGAATCCAAAGTGGTTATACATAAGATGGAGCCTCTTCCCATTTGGGTTAGAAAAAATTCAACAAGGCCAAGCAGATCATACATTTAATTGTAGCACATTGATGTAACGAGGTAATGAACTCAGTTTTTACATACAGACAAATTAGGCAAAGGTGCTCTTCATATACTACAACTATTGTAGAATACTCTGCCAGACCTTATCCTCCATCAGAGCCCAATAGAAGGGCAAGTCCATTGCACAGCAAGCTGCACAAAGGTCTGGAGCCACATTCAGAGTCTCAGAAGGTCTCCTGGAAATGGAAGGCCAAAGGGCTGACTACTATTTACTAAATGGCCTTACTTTTCATCTAATGATTTGGGCACAAACAGAGAGTTAATACCCTTTTCTTCCTCTTTCGTACCCATTTGTCCTACTAAGACTAACAGTTATTCCATCCGTAGATGAGCATATGCATATAACTACTTGCCTTTTGGGGGCACTAGACAGACTGAAGGTGTGAAGTGTTCATTAGAGAAAGAGAAAAGACAATTGCCTTAATTTTCAGAAGCTTTAACAGGAAGCCAAAACACTCAGTATAGTTAAGAAAGCCACAGAGACAGCTGTCCCTTTGGACGCTTGCGTGTGGGTGGGAACACTGGGAAGATGACAGCTTTCTACAGGGCCAAGAGTTAGCCACTGACACCTACCCATTTGCAAGCCCAGGTAATGCAATTAATTCCCAGCATGTCCAGTGATGCCTTCATGCCACAGCAGGACAAACAAACTGCTACTTTCTCAGAGCAGATTAAACATCTGTAAACACTTTCAGTGTATTCCTACAATTGACCGATGCCTGGAACCAGCTTTAAAACAGCCTGGCGTAGGTAAATTATCAGATTACTCCTTCACATAGTGACCATTTCTTTGAGAAAAATGCCAGTCTGAAGCCTCTTGTGAACGTAACTAGGAATTACTGTTGCCTATGTGGATTTTAAGGGAAATGAATTTAAAACCAAGATAGCTATCACTTTTGCAGACACACTGCTGGAAGAGCTATGCAAAAATCACATCCTAATTGTCCAACAGATGAGATACCTTGCAGGCACAGTAACTCATGTAAAAGCACAGCTTTCCCTGGTCTCAAGATGATGTAACAGTAATGAAGTTACCTTGTGCCACTTACTGTGCCGTTGGCTTGTCAACAGGAGAAAATGGAATTTAAAAATATCCTGGGAGACACAATACAGCGTGAGGGAATAACTAATGTTACAGAACAAATAAGAAGCTGTGTTTCCATATAAGATACTGTGTATCCAATATATTTAATAAGGTACCCTCACATTTAAAATTGTATTTGGATGTTTCTATGTCCAAGTGCACCTATTGGAGATCCACCTAGCAGTTAAAACTCCAGAACTGGTAAGGTGCCTTCTGCAAGTGTAGCCATTGCATGTCAGGGAATCTGAACAGAAATTTTAAAAGCTAATCATCACATACAAATAGCTGTTTGTAGCAGCAGCTACTTAAACGGCCAAATTACTTGCAGTACGATTCACTTTCTCACACACTGAAAACTATTGCATGGCTCCCCAGACTAGCACTCTCATCTCACCCATTTCTAAGGCCGGTTTAATCTCTGAAAAGTAAGTGTTAGATTCCAAGAGATGGAAGGAGCAAGACTTAAAATGAAAGATACTCCAAACAGAAAGCAGAACTGAACTGAAGTCACGGGAGTGACGTTTTCAAGCAGGTCATGGGCTGCTGCAACCTGCAGATGTTCAAGCAGTCAGCAGAGGGAGATGATGAAAGTCCGTGAAATTAACCACGTTAAGGCACACACACACATACAAAACAGACTTCAATGAAATACATCCCAGTTCGTTTTAACTTTTGCATGTATTGTAGGTGCTGAATCATAAGTGTTACTTAGAAGTAATTCTTTTTCTTTCTGCAAGAAGGGGTTTTCTCTGCAGATCCCCTCAGGTATAAGAGCAGACACTGCATGTGGAGAAGCACACTTGTGCCGAAGTACGATAGCTCCAACTGGCATTATCATGGCATTTCCCATAAGGCTTTACCTCCGTTTCAGTAGAACAATGGTGCCCCTGTTTCTTTTTTCCCATGAGCTTTTGATGTCTGGGCAATACCAGGTGCTGCCAAGACAAGCTGTTTTTTGTATCCTTGCCTGTTTTCCTGCAGAGTTCATTAGAATGCATTGTACTTCCAACCCTGACTGGTGGATGCCATCCGAAGAGCAAATAAACAAGGTCTTCAGTGATGCAGTAGGACACGCTCGGCAAGGGCGTGCGGTGGGGACTTTCCTTCACAATGGGAACTCATACTATGAAGGGACTGACCATCCAGGATCACAGGACGAAGTTTTCAATAGAGGTATGCAAGACGGATCTGGCGATTGACAGCAGTGAGAGGAAACTCATGCAACAGTAGCAAGCAGTTAATTTAGAAGAGACTATTTGTTAAGCATACTTACCCTGAAGTCATTTAAGAGTCCAAAGCATGTTTGAACACATACTGCATACATTTCAGCTTCTCCATCCTACCATGTCCCCGTTTACAGAAAGAAATCCATTTCAAGACCTGCCCTATGGGACTTCTCAGTGCCTATAATTTGCAAACCCTTCATAGCACCCCCAAGGGGAAGCTGCAGTTCATTCCATTTAGTTCTAGAGGAAAGATCATTTAAAAATTGTACAAGTTTCAAAAGAAACAACAGCTACCATCTTGTCTGCCCATTGGTAACAAGCCCAGGTCTGGACCCTCAGACAGAACAACCGGGTACTATTTGCTTTTCCTGAGTAGGAGATGTAAGAATGAGTCCGCATGCATGTGACCAAAACCAAAAAATGCTCATTTCTTAACAGCAAGCAGTATAATTATAAATGCTACCTTAAAATACCACACGAGATGGAAAATTCAGGGACTTCCTTTAGCCAGCTATGCCAGGAAATTAAGCTTCCTGGATAAAACATCAGCACTCATCAGCAACAGAATCCTTCAAAGACCCAGAACAATAACAGGCACTTCTAATAGATAAAAATTGCTTTGTGTATCGGATAGACACTATATTTATCTAGATTTCTAAGGGATTAGAGTTGATCATGACAGTTTTCATTAAAAAAAAGATTGCTAAAAACAAATCGCCATTTCGGAAGACAGGTTTTGCTTTGTCTGTTGCTATTCTGCAGCCATATTATGTAGCTTTAGAGGTTTTAAATTGCCTTTTCTTGTTTTTGCTTTCATTTGTGTTTTATATCCATTCCTTGAAATAGATGAGGCAATGTGCTGGTCTCAATAGTCAGATGCTCAGTGGTGCATTCAGGGAGGGGTTGAGTTAGAAAAGCCTAATTTAGCATTTTGTTGTAAGAAAAGTAAACCTGGGATCCAGACTAAGCTGTAAAAAAAGGACGTGTGTTAGAGCAGAAGCCAATTTACAGCAGAGTGCAACATGGGAAGCAGATGCCAGCTCAACAGAAAAATAATCCACCCATTAAAAACATTTACTTTCAAAGGCTTGGGAGTCCCTTGTCCCTCCAAATTGACGCACTCCAGAAATACGTAATGCCAAAGAAACAATACCCTTTCCTTTCAGCGTCAGGGTGTTTCAATCTCCGTGCCCTGGCCAGTTGCTCAGGCTGGTGCTGGTGTTCACCACAACCACCTGGCCCAGCTCTCCTTGAAGCAACGCTCCCCGGCCGGCAGGGACAGGGCACCGGTTTTGGGAAAGAAAATCCACTCCGCTTGCGATCACCTTTAGTGCTACCTCATCAGTGTTGATTCTGCTGAACGTGTATCTCATGCTCCCCAGCTTTCCTCCCTGCCCCATGCACACCGTTAGAGAAGCTACTAATTGCTCCTTCTGCCATCCTCCTCTCCTTCCCGACCTCCTCCCCGCACACCGGGCAGGGGGGGAAGCACCCAGCCCGTGCCTGTCCATGGATGAAGGACTGGGGCAGCCTCTCAAATGCCAGCTCACCCACACCACCATTTCTCCCTGCTGTCTGCCTCCCCTTTGCCTGCTGCCATGAACGGCGCATGGCTCCAGCCACAGTAGACAGAGCCATGCTCAGCCAGGATATGCTTTAGGCCCTTAAATGCCCAGTACCTCTCAGCTCGTTTTCATTTTGCTAATTTTTAAAAGGGGGTCGAAAGGCATTTATTTGACCCAGACGAACCGATTTATCAGAGAACAAGCAGTTTGGTCACACTGCTCCTTCCCGGGCCAAGGGGGTCAGGGCAGCATCCCTCGTGCAGGCAGGAGGTGACTCTCTTTGACCAGTCAGTGGTGTGCGGTGGCCGAGGGGGAAGACACTCAGTGTATAAAAATGTCACAGTACAGATATCCTTTAGTAGCTTTTCCGTGTTGAACTTAACACTTTTTTTTTTTTTTTTTAAGAGAACTATAATAGAAGATGTTACATTGCTCAGATGGTGTAAGTCTTGCTGGTATATGTTTAATGTGGTGACACTTGCCAGAACTACTTGGTAAAACATGTCAGAGCGTGCGAGTCAACATTATGCTGTAAATTTGTCCACAGCGATATGTATCATGCTGTATTTTTGTAAACATTGTGATGGTTCCTTTCAAATGGTTAAGCATATGAGATTAAAAACACAGATGCTTCATTTTTAATAGTCGCAGAACAGAGTTACTGGACTGGACAGACCTCTCTCACTTAATAACCTAAAGATTTTGCAAATAACTTGTAAGTCTAGCTTTATTTTTAGTGTAAGAAGTGTAACCAGCGTCCTGGTACCGCTCACAATCCTGTGCTCTCATATTGTGCAAAATAACCAAATGTATAGTTTCATCCTGAAAGCCACTTTAGCACTAGAAATGGCTTGGCAGGTTTGGACCGTTCTTTATGAACAAAATTTTGCCCTCAGCTGCTTCTGTGCAATCACTAGTGACATGAATAGTAGTCACAGACAGGCATCAGAAGACAGGAGCTCATCTCTTTTTTTGTTCATGCTTGTTTTTTAACAATAATAGACCACAGCAGCATCTCTCTTGTTTTTAACTGCCATCATGGCCACTTGACTCCTCACCCACCCCGTTTGTTTAAAGACCCTTTCACAACTACTTGTTCCAATTAGCTTATTCACGAGGCATTATGAATCCATGCAGATCGAAGCATCTATGTATCCACAAGATGTTAGGTATAACGCTACGGGACCCGAAATAATAGATAGCCTGTAAGCCCTCGCACAGCGAGATATCCATATTTAAGCACCGTGCTTTGTAAGTCAGCACATCCCTTCTCCGAGCTGGATGCAGGCAGCAGGCTGGCAGCAGAAGGAAGCTGCTATCTGTCATGTCACTCCAGCAAGTCCCAGGAGGATAGATCCTTGTCTTATCCTTCCATACTCTTTAATCTTACTGTCATTTATGTATCTGCCTTCTCTCAAACTTTGTGTAGCAGTACCGCACGCCCATCTGTGCCAACATGCCTTCGCTATATTTTCTATGACAAATATTTGTGGAGAAACTGTGATTAAAAAACCATTAATCCCGATATTTTTATTGTTATGGTGTAGTTAATTCTATGAATACTTTCTAATGATGATTGTACTGTGTAGAGTAAGTACAGGTTAGGGATAGACCTTTACCAGATATTGTACAAAAAAGTGCATAGTGTAATATAGACTAGTAAGGTTTTTGTGACAATTTCTATAGGATGTGTGAATTGTTTTCTATGTGGCAACACACATTTCTTTTAAAAAATATAAAAATCTTAGAGAATTTTTTAAACAGTCAATATTTTTTAATTATAAAGACATTTGTTACCTACAGTTTACTATTTCAGGTGTTAATCCTAATTTGAATATTGGTTTTATTACTACATACCTCCAGTTCCATTTGTTCTGTTGCATTAACAATGCACAATAAAAGTTGGTCTCTGGTTAACCCGTCTGTCTCTTTCTCCGTGCACACTGGTACATCAGCGTGGCAGCAGCCACAGTCGGCTCTAAGTATAAATTTGCTTTACATTTGGATTTATACAAAGGGCTCTAAGTATGGATTTGCTTTACATTTAGATTTATACAAAGGGCTAGAGCAGTGGTCTTTTTCATTAAATGCTTGTTTGGTATGAAGTGCTGGCAAGCGCAGGGGAAGATCATGAAGAATTCAAGTATAAATATCATATAAATCATTCCTGCCTCAAAACATGACAACATTTATTTATTGATGCACTGGTCAGATAGAGCACTCACAGAAAGTACCCATTTGCTGCCTTAAGACCTGGATTTTCAAGCAGTGAAGTTTCAATCCCATTTTAATTCAAAATTTAGTGCTGGACAAGCATCTCCTGTTCTCTTAACCAGTTGAGAAAATCCCAGCTCCAGATGATTTGCAGAGAAATTACGGCCTGTACAGCAGCACACATCCACCCAGCAGAGCAGGCCCGGCCCAACTGCAGGCTGGTGCCTCCTCTTAGAGAAGGATGCCAGATAATTCCAGTACAAAATCATGGTGCTGGTGTTTCCCTGTGATACTGCAAAAGTTTAACCCCTTGGGCTGATATTTTAAGGTCATAGGGCTGCGAAGCCACAGTCCAGATAATTGCAGGTGATCCTGAGAAATGCAGTATAGCACTGATCCCTCTGAAACACAATACACACATATACACACACACTGAACTTCTCTTAGAAAAGTTGTAATTAAGCAATAGTTTAGCTGTGCTTTTGCTCTGTTACAAGGTTTGTCCAGTCAGAGGAGCATAGCAGCGCTGCTGGCACTTATGTCTTTGCTCAAGTACCGGGATAACCCTGAAGGGGACCTCCCAAGGTCCAAGTCACCTGTTAAATTTCATGGGTAAGAAAGAGTTTTACTTCATTTGCATTAAAAATGCTCATTTTTAACATTTTATTATATTATAAAAATCACGATATAAATTTTTGTTAAAAGAAGGTGGCTCAAGTTGCAAAACTAGCCCCTGGGAGCCCAGTTACGCAGGAACTCATTTCAGTGTCAGCTTCTTTATGTGTGGCTCATGGCACTCATGCACTGGACCCACATTTCATTCACCTCACAAGGAACGTCATCTGGAGGCAAATCCTTTTTCTAAAGCAGGGGGAAAAATTCTGGCTGTGTATGCCATGCAGGCAGACAGGCAGTGAGCAAGACAGGGTTTTGAGGGAGAGGGTGGCCTCTCTCCAAACAAGTAAATCCTTAAGATGCTGCCTTCAGCGTGGTCTCACCTAGTTAAATCAAAAGCTCTGTCTCAGTCATCTAACAAGTTCATGTATGAAAACCCCTCCAGGGAGAAATGCTCCCTGTTGCAGTGTGGAGTCCCACAGAGTACTCAGCAGATCTCAGTGACCTGCCCCATGAATACAAAACTTCTCCGAAGACTCATCAACACCTGAGGTGCATAAAAGCAGCTCCTACCGCGGATATATAAAGGAAGAAATAAACAAGTAGCTACAGATTAATTACCTGAGTCAACAGGAAAAAAAAAATCTTCACATAATTTTGGTGGAGGGGAGACCCTTTGTTATCAAAGACACTTTAAACCCTCCCACTCTAGCAGATGTAATTGCCACTACAAAGGCAGTCTGTAGAAAAGTAGAAAGAAACAGGCTTGCTAATGACTCAAAGTAGTTACCCATTAGAAAAGTTAACGTTAAATTTAGTTCCCATCTGGGAACAGGGTCAGTAATACAGCAAAAAATTCTAATTAAACCTGACAAAAATGCCCTGTAGTAGTAACCTGAGTGAAAACCCAAAGAGTCTTCTTGCAGGATGTGTAACTGTAAGAGCCAAGAGGACTATTTATTGAACTAACTGAAGGAGGGATTTTTTTCTTAAAAGGAACACAACTCAGGAACACTCCCAATAATGATCTGTGCTGGGGTGACAAGTCATACCCTAACCTGATTTCTTTCTGAATGCAGAAAACTGGTGTCTGAAGCACTAGGGATATGGTTTAATGGGTGATAGAGGTGGTATGGGGACAGCTGGACCAGAGGCCTTCTCCAACCTTCATGATTCTATGATTATCTTCATGTATTGAAGAACACGGCTCTTGTAACAACCTGAACTTGATCAATCAAAGTTTCAAATGAAGAACTTATTTTTCCTGAAATACTGTGCTTGACCAACTTAATTCTGATGTCTAACCCCATACAGACAGATATTCTGCTTTCTTCCAAGTTTCTCCACTTTATCACCCAGGCTTCTTGCATTTGTATATTTCCTTCTATAACCATGTCCAGGTTTTATTTCAGCCCAGTTAGAAATGTTTTTTTTTTCCATAACCAGACTCACTCGATTTTGTCAGCATTAATGATGAAGAGGCACTTCAGTGAACCAGTCACTATGTTAAATCCTCTCTAAGCTAACTTCTAATTAACCAATTTCAAGTGAACGATATCTGGCATTTTCTTAAGAGGCTTGGACAGCTTTGCTGGTATTGTGAAATTATTGTTAATACACAAGTCTAACACATAAACCCAACCTCTTGAAGCAATTTGAAACACTTGGCTATCTATACACGGATGAACAAGCCGTCTCTCTGAGCCAGGACTGGAGGTTTGGATTGGAGATGGCACCACTGGGCATCTGACACAGGCACCAAGAATTGACTCTACCGGGGAAGGAGTTTCACTCTTTGGGGGTCAGGTGGAAAGGATTCAGTTGTCACTGAAGTACAGAGCATTAATACATACCGCTTGGTTACCCTAGGCAGGTTGCTCACTCACGAAGCACGCGTTATTCAATGGCACACACTCTCCACACCACACAAAGGCAATTTAACAAGTAAAAATAGATGGATATAACCTTTGTTTTGCATCCATAAAATGCTGCTCTGTGCACTTCGAATTCAAAAACACGGCAAGTCACCATCAACTGCCTAAAGCCAGTGTCTTTGTTTACCTTCCAAACACACATAAAATAGCTTAAATTAACAGAGCACAACCTTTACCAGCTATGTAACATTTTACTGAATAATTACAGCTTCCAGACATTTTACAAGATGTACCAAATTCAATTATAATTACAGGAGAAAACATATGCAGCGAAATACTTAAATATCTACATCTCACAAATCAAACTGACTTCTCCATACTAATCTGAAGTAACCAAGACAGAATGAGAAAGCCAATACACCATAAAGCATCGGAAGGGGGAAGAAGTGGGGTAGAAAATACATTTGATTAAAAGGCTGCATGGAAAAACACATTTCAGTTTTGAGATTGCCCTTTGAAAGCTCTGCCACCAGTGAATACCCTCACCGTTGGCTTTCAGATTTAATAGTTTTGGCAATAGCCAAAAAGCTTTCCAAATGCTTTAGACACTTTTCAGGTATTTCATCTCAAATCCTTTTCCAGTCTTTATTTTGAAGAGAAACTTACCAAAAAGCTTTATATTACATCATTTATACAACATTGCTTTTTTTTCTGTCTTCAGATTTGAAGCAGTTGGTCAAAACCTCAAATGGTTTAAATACAGTCTAAATTTAGGTTACAATAATCAAACTTATCTTAGATTAAGTGAGTGTAGAGCTGTATTCCGCTACTTTAACAGACTCCTTGTCCCCATAACAGAACCACAAACACCGATAATACAAAAATATGACCAGGCTTACTGTTAGTGTAACACTTCTAAAAAGTAACCAAGACCTTCTATTTTAATTGGTGCTTTTCATTTACACAGAAGAAAAAAAAAAAAAAAAAAAGAAATTTTCCTTAAGAACCTAGTGCAATGTAGAAGGATGATTTTCTCCATATCTATTTTTCATTTTCTGTGGTATTTTATAAAATGCATGTCTTCTTTACATTACACATTGAAATTTCTCTTTAATTCCTTCCCACAATGTCATGATTTAACTGGAAATCTTGCTTATCCAGAGACACTTAAGCAACCTGATAATACAGACTAACATTCAATAACAGTTGTAATCCATTGCAACAATGCTGTAGTCCTTACAGTACTCCACCCTCTTTTCTGTACTTCTGTATGGTTTTTCAATCCTTTTTGGCTGAAAGAAGCAATTTGTTTTGTCTTTAATTCACTCCAGCTACCACTTCCACAATTAAAATTCCTCAACCTCCACTCACCAAACACACACCTCCTCAACAAAGATCCAGACTGAGATTATGCCCTTACCCTTCAGTTTTCAGAGGGCAAACAGGTGCACATTTGCACCTGTTAAAATAAGACTAAATACCAGATTAGGCAACGGATAAACTGAGTCACTGATTTTCACTACAGAAAGACAAGTTTTCACTACAGTAGGGGATGGAGGGAAATTACTCAATTTTCTTAATACTGTTTAAAAAAAAAAAAAAATGAAACTCTGTTCTAGGCATTCTGATCAAACGTTATTTTGTATTGCTCCTCCCCTCTCCAACCATCATTTCTTACCTCTGGCCACATTTTCTAGATTGTATTGATATCTCCCCATTCCCAACACTCAACATCTTAGGTTTTTCCTTCCTTTCATTCTTTTCTTTTTTTACCACATTTTGTTATAGTTTCTATTCTTTTGCTTCAGCCTGAAAACCCAGACTGATTGACTGCAGTTTCTACAGCCCAAACAACCACATGGCAGTTTTTATTTTCCTCAGAACGTCTTCCAGAAATCAGACTATTGTGCTTGAAAGCCTGGATTCCTATTTCTTTTTATATGCAAGGCAGCTACAGTTTTCTTTTGATCTTAATTATTTCTGTCTCACTGACAAGAAAGGAAAAAAAAGACTAAAGCTAGACAACCCCTCTACAAAAAATCTGTTTGGTACATCTCAACTTCTCATTTACATTAAGCAGGCAAACTGCAGAAGAGATAGATGTTAGTTGTTCTCTCTATTCAGAGCTAACACTAAGAACAGAAGCAGCACAATATTTAAGCTAGGAAGAATGTGCATTTTCATTTTACACCCACTTCTGCAGTGTAAGCCCTTAGGCATGCACAGAAGTTCGGCTCTGGTGCAGGAGTCAATATTAATCAATTGTCCTATTCTGCCAAGCCAAAGTGCCTTAAGAACATGACGACCAAATGAAATACTTTTCTTTCAAGTCTTAGACAATATGCTTCTGTGAATTCTTTTGTGAGAAACACATCTAGATCATCTTTAGCACAAGGATTACTTAATTGAGAATTCTTGAAAATTGCAGCACTCCTTTTGATATACAAAAGCCCAAAAACTCTTTGCAGGAAAGCCATATTTGATGCACTCATCACTAATAGAGGGACTTTCATAATGTATAATTTTTTCTTTGTTAAGCAGAAAATAGAAGTCAGCTAAAGTGATAACAAATAAGGAGGACATAGAATTGCAATCAGTGTATTACGTAGACAAAACATACCAAAAACTCTTCCCTGTTCTCTCCCCTTGTCAAAGGGAGACCAACAAAAATCAGATCTCTAGATACAGATGAAAAAGCTTCGCCTACTGGGATCAGAGAACGCCGGTAGTTTTGGCTAGCGTGATTTGAAGCTTTCAGAACAGTGATCACTGCTGTAAACTACCAACGAACAAGAAGCCACTACAAAAATCCAGAGACCAAGGGTAGAATTTAGCCCTGCTATTAAGACATAAGCTCCATGTTATGGCTTCCTCCTTTCCAAGTAAGAGATTAAATAAGAAAAAAAAAAAAAAAAGTAGGAATTCAAGGACTGAGAAAAGCATAGGGCTAAAAAAACCTTCATTTTGAGCACAAACCACAGCAGAAAAAGGATGCAACATGTCTTTTAAAACATGTTCTCCTGTTCCCCAAGTCCCTGCTCCTCCTAGACAAGAACCCAAAGCAGTCTCTGTAACACACTCTGTAGCGCACTAAAGGATTTACTAGTACCACAGGCTTAACAAATGCTTTAGAAAGTCAGAGGGGTGGGACCACATGAAGTACTGAATTCCAAAGTTTATAAACAATTTAGGCTTGAAATTGACTCATGGGGGCAAATATAATCACCTCAGAATTTTATCTTTATCTTACAGAGTGTAGGAAAGCATATTACTAGTGTCCAGCCAACTTTGACTTAAAATATGTTATGATCACTCAGGATATTGAAACACTTAAACAATTTTTATACTAAAAGCATAATTTTTACAGAATTATGATATATGACAACAAATAAGCAAAGGGCAGTAGTACTTTGAACACAATTTGAAAAAATAGCACCTGTAATGCCAGTCTACAAAAATAATTATTTTAACATACTAATTTTTATTGAAATATTTCCTAGAATATAGCTGCAGTTAGCTAACCCTCACTCCTTTTCCTTAACTACACACCTTTAAATCAGTCTTAAAGGATCATCATGCAATTGTATTTGTGGTGAAGAAAAAATCCACTCCTTCAGACTTTACAATTTTTCTTCAATTCTGAGGATTCTATCAGGTAAATGGATTATTTGAATATTTTCCTCCAAAACACTAAAACAAAAGTAAACTAAGTATGGACCCACATCACCTCAAGCTTTAAGGAAAAAAAATAGTAAAAATGTCAAAACTTTTAGAAGCAATCTATAGATTATAATACATATTAAAATGTAACAACTTGGAATTACCTTGCCTTTCCAATCTGACAGGCTCAATGAATCAATATTTTCACCCAAATGCAAGACAGGCAAGCTTAAAAGGAACTGCCAAAAACAGTCATCCAGCCTTTTGGGGTATACCACCATCCAGATCAGTTTTAAAAATGGAAACAGGTCCTCAAACTACACAATTAATTATGTATCTAAACCCAAGTTCTAGGTTCTTAAATTTAACATATTGCAATGACATAATCAAGAATGTAATCAGGAGAGAAAGGTCTAAATTTTTTATTGGAATGTGAACAAAAGGTGTGTAGGTGAATATACTTCTGACTCAGGTAAGGAAATTAAGATGAGAATTCATGTGAATTACATCTCTGATGAGTAAGAGAACATTTTTACAGGCTGTTGGAGCAGAGGTCCTGTAAAGATATAAACTTATGCCTCCTCTTTAAAAAGATATTGGAACACTTCAGTATCTATATAGTGTTTACTAACTTTGTGAAATTTCTGCCCTGCAATGGGGCAGACTTTATGAAATTTGTATCCTGTTGGCATCGCTGACACCCGCATACAAACCATTTACATCACATTGACTATCGCCCCACACTAAGAAGGTTTTCCCAGTTCTACTCCTCTTTCAGTTTTTAACATTTCTGCAATAACAATTGTTAAGCATTTATTCAAATTTAAAATCCACATAGATATTTTAGGCAGTAGGAAAGAGGTTATGCATTTATCAGATTCCAGTGCTCTTCATGAATAAGACTAACATCAGCACACTGCATAATGACTTGAGATGAAGTTCACATGGAGGGGCGAGGAGATAGGTAAATGATTTAAAATGTAAGGTAAATGACTGAAAACTTAATTACTTTAAAATTTAAGTAATATTTACTTGATACAGTACACTTGCAGATTACCTTTAAACTCTTTTACTAAATGCATTTTTAATCATCAGGCTTAAATATACTAATTCTACAATAGGGGAAAAGAGGCAAATGATGCCTTCTGGATCAGCCACAATAAACCAATACACTACAAATAAGCCACTGGTGAATAGGAACTATGGACAAGGATACCAAAGAGATCCTTTACCCACAATCACCGCATGTAAGTCCCATCTTCAAATAAACTCTGGAATGTTATTCTACCTAAAATGGCCAGCATGCAAAGTGCTTTTCAGTTGTCAAAATGCATGCTACTTTCAATTTTTATAATTCTCTGGTAAATTATATTTAATACCAAAAAAAAGTCTAAAAAGCTTTTAGTCAAATCTGGACATACTGGTCTCCACAATCATTATTTGCTGCAATGCTTATAATTTAATCTTAATAAATTATTTTGATGACTTGTGTTTCATGTCAGCATTTCTTCTCTCAGTCAGTCAGTCATTACTCAGCAGAGGAGTCACTAGGAAGTTCTTATTACCACCTCTCACTCATCAGCAATTTTCATTTTACTGAAAGGTTTTAAAGTGCATAAAGGATTTTCCTCAGAGTTACTTATATGTAGTTATTTCACTTATATTTCAACGTGCACGACCATAGCTTCTATTAAATGACTGGTTCTCAAAGAATCTGGTATGACTTGGGTGCCTGCTGCAGAAAGCCCTGAAGCTGATCTTGTATAGTGCTAGAATTGCAAGTTTCAGAGTTATAAATTCTAGGCACTTATCTCTGGATTGTTGAGGACCACTGAAAATTCTTTTCCTTTCCCAAACAAGTAGGGTCAATTCTTAAAAAACACAAAGTAAGCAGTTTAGAATTCAGATAATGGATAATGCCTACAGGTAAATAAATAAAAAATACAATGTATCATTTGTTTAATTATAAATATTTCTAACACAGTTTTGACTGTTATTAGTTCCAAATACATTTCTTACATCTTCTAGCAATGACCATTTCTGGCAATATCACCTATTAAAAGTATAAAAAGCAAAAAAAAAAAAAAAAAAAAAAAAAAAGCCAGGTAACTTTTAATAAACACTACCATAAATATCTCCCAGATAACATCTGAAGATATTTACAAAAAGGAGAACAAGTGTAAAAGTAGGAAAAAAATTAAACAGAGGAAATTCACTGAAGTCTCTACACAGTAACTTCTTCACAGTAACTCAACATACTCTGGCTAACCACATAAAGCTGACACCACCGAGGAGAAAAACCTGATTTTTCTGAAGTGCTGTTGGTAATCACAATGGTGGCAAAAAGATTCCAGGTCATGGTACTTAAGAGAAGGCCAGCGCCTGTTTGAAAGAATTTATCTCATAGAAAAGAAGAACTGTGAAACAATCACACAGTTGAAATATAACAATTAGTTTAAGGTTGGCAGGTTCCACTGGAACAAACTCTTCCTAGCTAATCTTAATATCTCCCAAGAACCTTTAATGATATCTTGAAAGAAACTAAACAAGTGCAAACTGACTGCAAAGGGACACAAATTGAAAAACTAAATGTATATTGTATATTTTCAGGCAGTTTTATTTGCCTAACTAACCCTCAAGTCTGAAGTTCTGAATTGCAGTAAATATGCTCAGACAGATTCTCCAGTGGACTTTAAGTCAAGTAGCTTTTCAAATTGATTTTGCCATGGAATTTGTTGTCTGCAACTCTAATGCTCTTCCAGAAACAGAAGCAGTGCTAACAGCCCAGGAAGCCTACAGCTAAAGTAAGCAAGGTATGGTGCTGAGGTCACTGCAATTTCAGAAGCTTTTCAGCCATTTACGTGATTTCTTCAAAAATGGTATCAACATAAAGATTTCTTCTGTCAAGTCTATAGTATCTCCAAATCCACATGACGAACATCAGGATTTCGTTGCTGAAATTAAAAAAATACGTTTTTAATTGAAAATATTCAAACATTTTTGCACATGGATACAAATAATCAATTCCTCATATAATATTGGCAAATGCATAACAAATCCCTTTTTCTTGTAGTCTCTGGACTATTTTGAAATAAGGAATAACTTCAACAAATACAGCTGTTATAAGCAATTTTGAAGACTAAGTCATCTTTTTATTTGACAAATACTCTTTAATTTCACCACTGAATTAGCTCTTATGCTTTATATAGTATTAAACAGCTCTTTTGATTTTAAAAAGACAATTACTTTTATGTAAAACTGTCCAAATAAAACTTTCTTAAAGTCATATGCATGTGTTTAACAGGTATTTTCCTGAATAATGGATAACTTCTGAAATGGCATTCTGTTGAATCTATTTATAAAGATTGTTGGATCTATTTATAAAGATTTAAAATACTATTTCCATTAAGAAATATGCATTCACTGATGAGGTAGAAATGTTATCATCACTACATGAACTATACAATCTATGACAGGTTTACTGAGAGTCACCTACTTCAAACTCATCCAGCCTGTGAGTATGACTTGTGTATTCAGTAAAGCATATTCAACGACAACATAATCACTGAAATCCCTGACTATACCAAACAGTAGTATTCATGTTAATAAAATAATTAGTTATGAGCCTGCTGCTCGAAAACCATGAGGAACTGGATCTGCTGATGCAATTACACTCGAAAACATTTTGATTTATAAACAGCATCACTCTAGGGAAATAAACTGAAACTAGAATATTTATCAAAAATTATAGGCAAGGATGGACATACTCTTGAGCAGTGTCTCCCCATGAAGAGAAAAGAGAGTCATAACAGGACTGTATTTGTCTGGCAATCAGTATACTTACAGTTCTATAGTCACACCAGAAAAGGTGTAATTAACAGCCATGAAATAAATAAACAATTAAAAATAGCAATAATCATTTGTTACATCAATCAAAGGATATTTAAATTGTATAACAAAAAAACATAATGATAAGAAGTAATGACAGGCTTTTAAAAGCAGTAAGCACTGTGCTGCTTCAACATCAGCAAAAGCCATTGAGTAATTAGAGCACTGAAACAGTGATACCAGTTTTGACTACACGCTAAGTACCATGTTAAAAAAAATTAAATTGAAAAAAATTTGCTACTTTAGAACCAAAACAAAATTCAACAGCATGTAAATAACCTGACACTGAGAATACCCTAGCATTTACAGAGGAACAGTTAGTTCTCATTTCATGGAAACTGTGTTATGCAATAGTATAAAATTGACCAAAATGCAAAACGGATCAAAGGCAAAGGGTTTGCTGCTGTTCAGAATTTAGTTAGTGAAACCACAAGAAAATTGGCATTAAGATCATCAACCTTTTTCCCTCTTATGTTTACAAGCATGATCACAAGAAGTAGAACCAATGGTATTGCATACTCTGATATATTTTAAACATTTCCTATTAAGTAGCTAATTTTTACCTTTAGGTCTTTTTCAAGTCTGTCTACTTCAGCTCCCAGTGTGTCAATGATGTTCTCACCATGCTTAAGCATGAATGCTTCTAACTCTTCAAGGGTCTTCACTTGCTGAATTTCCTAGCAAGAAATCAAATTTAAAACGTTGAGAAGGTGAGAAAGGGGGAGGAGGGGAAAATACTTATTCTGGGTACCATGTGATCAATTCATCTTAAAATCCACCACTACTGTGAATGATGATGTAAATACTGCTGCTCAACAATATAAAAAACCCCTCAAAGACAGTTGGTAAGAACTAAGACTAGGAGACCAAGTGCATAACAAACTGAAAGAATAAGGTTAAGAAAGACAGGAGGCTACATCCACTCCTCATCTCCTAAAAAAACAGACATCAGAAGCACCAAAGAAGGTATCACCATGTTATTATAAGCTTTCCTTACAGCTCTCACACCAAGAACCAAGCCAGCCAGAAGCCACCCTATGCCCTCTAATATCTTTGTCACCAGTTAGATGATAACAGCTGCAATGCAGGACGAATAGGTTATTGGTAATAGACTGATAATAATCAAATAGACAATTTGTCTTGTGCATACAACTACAAAACAACATCAATTTCTCTTCTGTCCCATTACTCTAAAACTGAAAGGACTAATAATGTACTTGATTGAGCTTAAAATATGTCTCCCAACCACACTAATGTGTGACTAAGACAAGGGCAAGTCTAACAAGCAAAATAAATGAGATTAATCTGAATGACAGCACTTCAACTCATAAAATTTCACACCTGTAGAATAAGCAGTGTTGATATCAATACAGGATAAGCCAGTTATTTAAAAAACAAAAATGCACACCAAAAGGCAAGCACTATGTCTGCCCTTGACTATGAAAGATGGAGTCCTGCTGAAAGGAGCTTTTCTTCAATGTTGGCTTGATAACTGACACAGGGTTACTACATGGAGCTACAATGACCTGTATATGAAGCAGTTGTCAATCTAGAACCAAACCAAGAAAAGAAACAGTGAAGGTTCTATGCAAGGGAAGGGAATAGTGGGTAAAGAACAAAAATTAGCAAGGACACAAAGGAACTGGGACTCAGCAATTTTAAAAAAAAAAAAAAAAAAAAAAAAAAAAAAAAAAAAAAAACAAGCAAACCTGCATTGCCCCAGTTACACAAACTTAATAGCACTCTTCCTTCCAAAAACATATTAAATTGAAATCCAATCCACACACAAATCACATATTGCACTATATAATATACATCTTTTATTATTATTATTAAAGGATGGTGCTTTTTATAAACTCACACACTGACTAATGGCTTAAAAATTTGCAGTAATTAAATGTAAATTCAGATAACTGCTAAGTCATGTTTAATGGACGGACATAACATGCAGACATCTAATCTTCATTTTGAAAGGGTAGCAATGAAAAATCTTACAGCTACGCATACAGATGTGTATAAGAAATTGCTACCAGTGAAAACAGATGGATAAGCAAAAACATTTTGCCTACTTAAAACTCTCTGTAGTTTAGACAAATAATTCTTTACTTCAAACTTCATAGCTTTGCCAAGTAAAATTCAACTGAGAGGGGTTTTGCATTTCTGTACTGAAGAGAGGGATTAAAAAAAAGCTCCTCTGAACTACTCTAGATTCGGAGACAGACACAGATGTTTAATGCTGTCAAAATGCTAAGTCATGTGATGCAAGCAATCTATACTCAAGCCCAGTCTGAATGGCAGGACCTGTAAACCGTAACTGCATCTTCAGCACCCAAAGTGAATGCCTCTGCCAAAACAGATGCTTATTCTCATGTGACAGGCTTCTAGTTTTAACCAGAGTTCTTGCAACTTAATAAATACTTATTTGATGAACTATGTTCTTAATAACATGGTTTTAGACAAGTCTGCATTTTCTAGTGAAAAGCTGAATTAAAAATCTGCCCTTCTTCCTACCCAGGCCTTGCTAAGCCTGTTTCTATAATGGCTCTATTTCAGCAGCACATTAACATGATTCTGTGTGCAGATGCACAGTGTTCGGAACACATTAACACAAAGTAAAGACATCTACAAGCCTTCGAAATGAAGAAGTCATTTTCAAGTCTTGAAAAAACTTTTTTTAAAACATACTTGAAGTTAGAAAGCAAAATGAAATGCTGAAGGTAACAAAATCATTTTGTTTAAACATACCTGTAGCAGCTGTTCAATGTCTTGTTTTTCCAGGTAAGAACGAGTAACGACCCGCCCATCAAAGTCTACTTCTGCCTTGAATCTCACTTTGCTCATTCCCATGTCTGTGGCTTTCACATCATGAATCGCTCTGAAACGCAGAATTTTTAAAGAAAAGTAGAACACCACAAAGTAAATAACACCAGAAGTCAAACTAGCTAGTTAACAATATTGATACAGTAACATGATCGATTAATTTTAAAAAGGTCACTGCCTTTGACTAACATATTCTCTTTTTGTTACCACACATTTCCATTAAATACTTTATATTTATTTAACTAGTTGCACCTCTTCCACAGATACCTGCTACACCAACACAAATATCCCACATCCTTGAAGGGCTCGCTACAATAAGAGAGACTACAAGAAACAAGGTAGATGCAGAACTAGATTAGTAGTGTTTGAAAAAAAAAAAAGGAAAAAGCCTTTAAGTTCAATTTATTTGCTACTACACAGGTTTGTTTGTTTGTTTGTTTTTGTTTGTTTGTTTTTGTTTTTCTTTCTCCTATGCTAGAACATAATTTATTCTGCAATGAAAAAAATACATACAACTACTTAAAAATTTTCAAGTATCCTCAATTCTGACATAAAGAACAATGATACATAGCCAGATACTGGAAGGACTCATTGCAATTCCAAAAGCATCCTTTCCTAGATAACTACACAGTCTGTAAAGATATGATTTGGAGAATTTCCCATTCTTATTATTCCTATTTCCTATATACGTAATATATGAAAAAGTTGCGGATATTGTATTTGGAACTCATTTTTGATCATATTAAGTTATTGATCATAACTAATCACAGTACGGGTGTTTGTATATAGCAAAAACTTTTTATTATTGTTTATTCAAAACAGATCTAACAGATGCTAGAATGTGGATGTTGCAATACATTTGTACTTTGGACCAGTGAATACTTTTGTTTCTTTATAGCAACATTTGCTCCCATTTGCTAGATAAAAATCGTGATGTGTAATTTCCTTCCCCCCACCCACCCCCACCCCCCCCCATTTAGATTAACACAAATTTACTTTATCCTTAAAAGTAGTAGAACTTAAAGTTGCCACTGCATAGTAAGTCTCCACATTTTTCCATCAAGGCCAGAAAAAAAATGAGACTAAAATATGGGACATAAATTACAAGTCTCAAAATCTTGAAATTCTTTATTCCAACATTTCTGAAGCAAAAGAGCAAAACAAATATCTGAGGTCAACTGCAGACAAAGTTCCAGTGAATGTTTTATTGACAGAAAAATTCAATCTTAAATTTTTAAATTCTAATGTAACATTTAGACAAAGCAATAAAGCTCACATGATAGGAAGTACTATTTTTTTCCCTATTTGTTTTACTAAATTGTGCAATTTCACAGCATCTTTAGAATTAGCATGCCCTTTTCTCCTAAGCAAATTTTCTCTTCCCAACCAGAAAGGTTGCTTCCCATATGAATGCTTATAAATTAGAAATAACTTCACAAGAGGTGCAGGGAGAAAGCAGAAGGCAAGTATTTCTGAAGTAGCCTGTTCTCCCTACAGAGAGCAGCCTACAGAGAACAGGAGGCAGAAGTTTAAGATGATGAGTTACAGAAAGCGTTAGTGGAAATTCTCTTATAATACTCTAATTCTATTTCTTCGTGTGTCAAGAACTTTTTAAAAAAAATAGAAATAGAATGAACTAAATACAGATACAGCGAAAAAAATCATAGCAAATATTTAAGCAGATTAGAAGTACTATCAGCTTACTGGTAGCAATAAAGAATTTCCAGCTCCAATCAAATTTGTACAGCAATATTGTGGGACGCTACCAAATCAAAATGGTATTAACTGGAGTTAACTTAACGTGTATCAAACCATCTTCTCATACAAGAGGGTATTTAAGGTAACAGATGTGTTTCAATGAGGGTTATTGAAGGAAATTCAAATCCATGAGATTAAAAAATGTTGAAGATACATCAAGAGCTAAGAAAGAAGATAAAAGATCTGTCAGACCCTAATTAGATGATAACTTGATAACAGAATTCAGTGGAATGATGCGTATTCTGTAAATGCAGAAAAAAAATATCTACCTGCTCATAACCTGCCCAGGGAAGATAAGACCATAAGTCAAGGGGAGAAAATCACAATTCCAAATACAAGCATACCAGCTAAAGCTTAAGTTACAAAGCTTGTGGGTGGCTAGAACAGGCTGTGAACTCAAACTAAGGAAAAAAGCAAGTTTCACACTTGACTATTGTCAAGAAGTTTAAATTACGAGTTTTGAGCCATCAGTAGTAATTCTTCGTGTTTAAAAAAAAAAAAAGATTTTACAACAGTACAGTAGCACAATTACCTAATAGCTTTTACAATTAATTAAAACTGAGGATGAAACTGTCACCAAAAATAGTTGATGCCTAGGGGCCCATGATTACATTCCATAAAAACAGGATGAGGACAGTCTGTACCAAGTCATATATTTTATCTCACAGTTCCAAAAGCTTAACCTCCTAACATTTCAGTTAAACTCAACACAAAGATTTAGGCACCAAAATGTGTGAACAAGAGTTACAAATGGAATGTTCACGTAGCAAAAAATAAAATCAAGTAATTTTGCAGCCAAGAATAACTGTGAAAGACCATTCTAGTTCACAAATTAAGGGCTACAGCTAGAAATTATTAAGCAAAAGGAAAAGAAATGGGAAATAAATGAGTTTAAAAAACAGAAACAAATTGTCCAGGAAACTGACAGGAATGGAAAAAGGCAATCACTGTGATAAAATCAAAAGAAAATAAAACTTGGTTTGTAAGGATAGCAGAAACAAAAGATAACCTGGAAACAAGCCTTCTACTAGATGGAAATGACAGAATTGCTACTAATGATACCAAGTAGGAAGAAACATGTAATAAGCATCATCATCTTAATCTGAAAAAGGCTGAACAATAAACTAGTACAAAAAAAAAAAAAAAAAAAAAACACACTTCTCTTAGTAACCAAGAAGCATACTGGACATTTAAAAGAAAAAAAGTTTCTAATTCATCAGGCTCTGTAACTTGTATTTGACAGTCAGAAGAACTAGGAATAACTGTGAAAGCCAATTAATTTTTCATCTTGCAACACTAATGAGAGTGGGGAAAAAAAGATTAACAGTGTGCAAAAATTTAAGAATTACAAATAAGATGATCCATTTCATTAAAGACAATTTCACCTGACAACCAAAGGCAAAATAGTGAAAAAGGTGGAAAAAAATATATAGTAAGAGCATTAATGTCAGTCATTAAGGCTTTAGTAAATGTAGGTCTTGTCAAACAAACTCTGTTAAAAAAAAAAATTCAAGTTTTAGCTGAAAAAAGATTAGCAAGAGAGATCATTTATTTTAGTACTATAGCAGTTAGTACTGTCTGATGAATCAAATCATTTATAATTAGCAGTGGAACATGATGTTCAGGCAATCTATTGACAGAAAAGTAGATTATGAATGGTGATGGCATGGGGAAATAAAAATCAGAGCTTCTGGATCCTTTGGTCAATTTGGATCTAAAATATCTTCTGATGAATACTAAACGATTCTCCTTCACATATATCCTCTTCATATCTTGCAGAAAACATATAAAATTAAAGATTGCAAACCTTCTCTCAAAGAACGAGAGGACTGTTTTGAGAAGACGCAACTGCAAAAAGGAGGATTGCATTGAAAACTCAGGTATAGTCAGTTCCTTAATTAAGTCTTCACTTTGTTATTATCCTATGTACTTCTTTAAAATTAAGTTATTTTCTGTTATAAAAATGCTTTCATCAAGGAGATGAACTAACTCTGCTCTGTTCATAAGTTATAGCTGCCTAAAAAACTGAGTATAACGTAAGTAGTGTCTGGGACAGGAAAGATTTCAGGATTCCAGCTTGGGACAAGAAAGAGCCAACAATCTGTGTACTTTGGATATGAAATTCAGGAACTATTGAAAGAAGCTAATTTTGGTGTCATCGTCCCCCCCTCCCCCCATAACTTGGGAATGACCACAAATAATAATAATAAAAAGAACTAAAATCCTGTAGACAATTTACTTGGAAATACATTTCTGACTAAAGATTAAGAAGAAAACAAAAATGTTTTTGCTTCTAAATTAAGGTTAATAACGTTAAAGTAATCTAAAACAGCTCCTTAAAAGCATTTAAATAAGATTTCAGAATTACGATGAGCTATAAGTTTGTTATTTCAAATTACAGATATCCAAAGGAAGAGAAATTAGCACTAAATTCATTCTGTAAACATCTAGCATGCAGAATCTCTTAGAACACTACTGCAGCACTTCACTGCCAGCTGTAACAGAATCCCATACACTGAATGTTAACAGTAACATCATATTAAAACATTTAAGTATTATAAGCTAAGAAAGCAACATTGTGGCATCGTTTCTGTTTGCATTTCATGTATTTGAAGTTACTTTTATATTTGTCATGACCTCAATAAGTCATGCGACAATTCTGGCAATTAATGTAGCTGTTGGAACATATATGCAATTTCATTTCAGCTGTGGAGTGTATGAGAGGTAAGAGCATGCACTTATTACATTTTTAACATAGAAGTTAGTAATAATTAAGTCTAAAAATCCCAGTATAGAAAACTGAAAACAATCTCACCAGATTTCTCCTATGTAAGTGCTTGAACTATTTTTTCAAATGTTATTTTCCTGCTTTTTGCTGTTCTTAGTAGAGTTTTTGAATTATAAAGATTCTCACCTTACTACAGGATCACTTTCCAGTAATTCAGTAAGTCGCTGCAGCTGTTCAGGCTGAATGGATCGTCCCAGCAGGGCTTCAGTGTTAGTGTAGATAAGAAATGCTGACACAGTTCCTAATAAAGTTCCAACACCTAGAGACCCCACACTGTCATAATATGGGTTTCCTAAACAAGACACCTCAAATTAGTTTGAGAGCATTTCTAAAACATTCCAGATAATTCAGATTTCACACTGAAAGTACTACAGTTTGAGTGTCTTGTTTTGCTTTTTGTTTGTTTTGATTTAGGTATTAGCAGTTATTTACTACTGAGGGACACAAATTTAGAAGAAAAAAGTTATCTTAAGAAGATCTCAAGTACCTCCTCTCACTCAGCTAGAAAACATCATACTCTCCTTTCTCCTGCAGGACTGATGAGTAGTCTTCAGTTTTTTTGGGTTTCCAGGTATAGACTTAAATTTATGAACATAAAATTCTATAAATTTAAACACAGGTAGTAGCACTACTAAAAGTCTTTGCTCTTTTATCAGTAAAGCAACATTGTTTTATAAAAATAATTATATAGCCATTACTTTGATGGAAGACAGAACAGATCTCCTGCATGATTTTTCCTACCAACTCAAATGCTTGCAATTATTAACCATTCCTGGAATACAGTATTTACTGTATGGATGTTAAACATGTATTTACTGAAATTCAGATTGGTAAAAGGAGTACTGTATTTTTAACTTTCTGAAGGAAACTAGAGATGAAATTAGTTTTTATACAGAAGTCTTTGTTTAAAAAAACTTGCAACTAATTCATTGAAAGCCACAAACACAAAAAGATATTAAAAAAAAAAATTAGAAAAAAAGTCAAAGCCTCGAAAGAGGCAAATAACTAATCTTCCATCTAATAAAATTTAACTGTGTAAAGACAGACTTTGAATCAGTTGCCATACAGATCATCCAACCTGCACAACTTGATTTAGCCACAATTGTTCAGGAACGGTTATTAAATAAGAAGATAATGCTAACACCACTATGTAGCAAAAAGAAGGGAAAAACTGCCTCCTTAAATCCTCCCCACATACATGTGGGGCCGCATGCCACCGAATAAGGTAGTTCAAATTATGTAATACCACTAAGTCATTTACATATGTGACTATAATAAACATACTTTTAAAATGTCTTAGCTTGTCCAGTAAAATAGCTCAAAAGGAAGCTAGTTCCATTCACATGCAAGTACTCTTTCAGGTTTAATCCCATCAATAACTGACATGAAAAAACAAATATATTTTTATTTTATATATCTTAAATTCAAACTACTGGAAATCAGATCAGAGAACAGCATAAACCTCTGGAAGCCCACACAGTGCAAGTACTGGAAAAGAGCAGAGCTAGATTTAAGTCAACCAATATAAGCCAAATAATCTGTGTTCATGTAATGCACATGAAGAATATTCAGGTTGCCTCAGTTTGAGGCAGAATTTCACCTGTTAAGGAAGTCAGACCCATACAGGTAGCAGCTACAGCCACACTCAGAACTGCTGCAGCATCCTCCAGTAACACCACATTGGTACTAGGATCACGACTCTGAACAACTGTGTAAACAAAAAAAATCACATTGCTTTGGAAGTCTTAGCTTTACTACATTGTGCACAGCACTTTATAAGCAATATTAATACTATCAAATTAAAAAAAATAATCCGTAAGTATATAGTTGTAAACTGAAATTTTATGTGTGCTCACACTTCTTGAAAGCATTCATAAGTACAAAGAGCAAACCCTGTGCAAATTATGGAAACAATTATGGAAGCTTCTCCAAAACATTTGAAAAATGTAAAGCAGCATTTATCCAAAAAAATAAAAGTTCTTAATAAAAGTAAATATTCAATTAGTGCTACTTAAATCAACAGGTTTTCACCTAATTTGTAAAATGTATTTGTTACTAGAATAGAGAAAATAGATCAATAAAACAAGGGGAATCAGGAAGGAAGAAGAGACAAAAATGTTTCCATTATAAAGCAGCTACTAGTAAATAGATCCTGTTTTAAATAACCACATACCTTACTGCTATAATGACACATACCATATTGATAAAATGACAGACCCTTGGCTCGAGCACTCCTGCGGATTTCATTTATAGCAACAAGAAGAGTAGCTGAAACAACACCAATGTAGTAGTTGAAAATGGTTAGAGGCAAAAAAAAAAAAAAAAAAACACAGCTTGTTTTCATTTTGAAAGGGAGGAATCTTTTCTTTCTATTATAGCAATAGATCATGAAGAAAACTGATACTTTGACAAATCAGAAAGTAGCCTTCTTTTCTACATACATTTCCTCATAAAAATCAACAACAGTTACATACACTGATAGTTAAATGCCAAAAAGGCATTCTACATAGGCACTCACATAATGCATTCTTCAACTTCTAATTAGATAAGATTGATAAGGAAAGTTATCCCACTCTTCTTTTGTTCACCACAATTGTCACCAACAAAGCTTAAAACTTTACTGTTGTGTAAGCAAGGACTAATTGTTACTGTAATTATTCACAGCATACCCTCAGAGATTTAAGAATACTGAAATAAAAATATTTCTTGGAACTACATACCTCCTTCAGATACCAATGACCCTGCTAAAATGCAATATGCCTGTATAGAAGAAAAACAAAAACACCTCTAGGTTACTGTTATATCTATATTTGTACATCACCACAGACTAGCCAAATGCAGCAATTCCAGAACAACATTACACACTATAAACAGAAACAAATGATCCAAAACCAAACAAACAACCACCAATATTTGAATTATGCAATATAATGTAAAATAGAAAAAGGTGAAAAGGGAAGATAAAGGGTTTAAAGAATAGCTAAAATGTAACAAGATTTTTTTGTCTTCAAAACATTGTCATTAAGGATGGTTTAAGTTAATTGTGTTAGGATTCAAACTGACTCAGGAAGTGAATTTCAGATGGTATCATTACTTTCTATTAAGTCAGCAGTGTCAAGTACACTGTACAATAAAGTACAATAACAAAACAAGATTAGCTTACCCAGAGAAGAGATTCTATAGGATGAGGGTGGAGTAAACCCATGATCCCGTGATACCAAGAAAGTCCTGCACCCATCATGAAAATGCCCACCCCACTAATCAGGGAAGCAATATAGCGCATGTTTGTGAAACCATACCTAGATGAAAACAAAGAAAATTATTTAGGACAATAAGCTACTGTATCTCTGCAGACATATCTACAAGTTTTTTCCCTGATTTTTTTCTTTTTTACATGTCTTAGATTATCAAGACTGCATGTCTACTTATGATACAGGTGCTAAATCCAATATAAAACATGAAAAAAAGGTATTTGAAAAATAGTATCTAATACATACAAAGAAATCAAGCATTGATATTTATTTCCTTTTTAAATAAACTTTTTACACAGTAGTACTAGCTCTTGTGTGGAGATTAATGTTTTTTGTGACTATAAAAAAATATATGCAGCTAGCCTACATTTTTGTTTTGGTACTAATGTAAAGAGAAGAAAACTTGCAAAATCTTTGCGTAGTACAGTTAACTGCAAACCTTCAACATTTGCAGTCTTTATGAGTAGTATTACTTCACCTCTTCCCTCTAAAGTGTACCTTTATTTTTTTTCTGATATTAACTGCTACTACAAACAGAATATTCCTTCGGTAACATTTAAAAAGCAATAGTTTGAAAGACAAACACTAAGGAAGATGTGAAAAACTTGAGTGGAAGGAGATGCAAATAATATTTTGACAAATTTAAGACAAATTTGAAAAACACATTTTTCAAATTACCTGTAGAGCTCTTTCAAATTTTGTAGAGCTTTTTCAAATTTGAAAAATGTGAAAACACATTTTTCAAATTACCTGTAGAGCTCTTAATGAAGATAAATCTTAACTAATTCTGTAAATCAGGCATATAATGAACTATTGCTTGCAGAAATAATAACTTGCCCAAATATGTGAAGCGTAAAGCATTTTAAGAGCAAGGAAATATCATGGAGACTACAGCTTGTAATGTTCATGAAGCTGTAAGAATATAGAATTAAAACCCCTGTTACTAAGATAAAAACAGTACTTTAAGTCAAACACATCTCCTTACAACACAAGTAACTTCCTTGCAGAAAAGCACTTTGTTGAAAATAGCTGACAGGGATGATTTTTTTTAGTTTTATTTAAAAAAAAAATGTTGCTGTTCACATGAGCAATATCTACAAAAAAAATCTATTCCTTTAAATTATCCATTGGAAGAGGCAGATGAGACCAGAATAACTTGAAGGAATAAAGCCAATTAAAATAGTACACATCAAAAAACACACCACAACAAAAATCATGAAATATAACATGCATCAAACCACTGAAGCTAAAACTCCTGCAGTTTAGCAGAAATCAGCATTCTTACTTTTTTCTACCATAAAAGCAGAAACACTGCATTTCTGATCAGTATGAAATGGCACATTTAAAAAGAATAAGTTGATGCACAAAGAACTCATCTTACTCCTATATATGATTACTGAAACCATTATTTACTCCAAAAGCTTACGGATGACTAGGGTCAGGTGTCCTTGCAGACTGACTGATGCCCAAAGCTAACAGTGCCTACATAGGACAAAAAAGAAAAAAAGTTGAAAAAATATTAGAAACATTCGATTTCAATCTAAACTTGAAAGACAAATAGAAGTAGAAGCAGTATACTGATTTACACATGCTTTCTTACTGAAATTTTATTAGAGCTGGAATATAATCCTCAACCCTATAATCAATGTATACATATATATACACACACACATATCAACCCAATAACCCTCTCCTCCCCATGAAAATTGTTAATTGTAACTTTCAAGATTTTAGAATTGCGACTACATCTACTACATGTAATCACAACAGTTATCACTGTGTAGTTATAGCACAACATTATATTTTGTACAGTACATGTAATCACAAGAGTTGTCACTTCTTCATTGTGAAAGAATGTAGATCTTCAGGAAACAAAACTATTTTAATATATCCCTCTTGAAGAGGAATTACACAGAGCCTACAGTGACGACATATAATTTTGAAGCAATAATCTCATACTGCAGCTTCTTTCACTACTGAACTTAATATTCTCCAAACTGAACAAAAATAATATTTTGAAGGAAGAAAACCCTTGCTATCTAAGTGGAATATCTGGGACATTTAATTAGGCATGGATTAAAATATTGATGCAGTAAATTATAAACCTAGGCCTCAATTTTGCAAGTACATGCTTTTATTTTAGGAATGTGGTTACATCTAAACATAATAAGAAGTATTAGAATTGACTGAACGCTGTAGGTTTTGCAGTAGGCAAGCTGCTTTGAGGCAGCAAGGCTTCTCCTGTGATTTCCCCAAAAACCACGCTGTTAAATATTTGAAAACAAAACCAGCTTCCCAGTGGAACCTTTAACTTCCACATTTAAAAAAAAGAATTGCTTTTCTACTTGTAACTGGTAGAGAATTCCACTATCAAACTTGATTCACCTATACATCAACAAATTTGGACAAATGAAAATTGCATGCTTTAAAGCTGTCTCCCCATAAATTTCCTTAAGTATATTCACTTGAGTTAATAGCAGCATTCTCTTCACTTTACAGCTGGAACATCTGAAAAGTTGTCTAAGACCATTTACAGAAAAAATAAGAAACACACCAGAAATTCTCGATACAGTCCTTTCAGACCAACAAATGTACGAAGTATAAATGAAGTAGAAAGGCAGCCTCAATTACGTTAAAACGATTGAATTCTGACCTAAGGTTCTGGGCATTCTTCAAATTTAAGGAAACACAAGACAGTTCCATTTTATAGCAATCACAAGCTACCCAAGGACTCCCTTTGTTTGAACTTCAAGAGGGTTCCAGCCACTCATCTTCAAGTACTTTGTTTGTTTCCAAAGACTTGCTTTATCAAAAACAGAAAAAAGGATTCCCTACACTAGGATGAAGTGAGATTTCAAGGTCTCCTGATGTATGTCTCAAGCATGCTAAGGAAAATAGTGGAAAAATCAGCATAAATTTTGTCCCTGCACACCAGTGTTACACACCCAGCTCTGAGTCTGCACACCACCTTATCAAAGGAAGTGTGCACTGCATGTAGCCACTAAGGCAATCTAGTAAAAGAAACCATGATGCTCAAATTCTCACCATTCTTTTACAAACAGATGACTAACAAGTCTATTATTCTCTTACCATAACTTGAAATACTCTTACTGTCAGGCAACATTTAAACAAAATAATATAGAGGTGTATTTTGTGTCATCTTAGTTTCAACTCCTGCTGATGATCCATGAAAGAGCTGACTGTAGTTCTACTTACTACAACTCCTCTCTTTCCACTTGCTTCTAAAAACCTTTTATAATCTACATTCTGACTTGTCTCATTCTTACCCTAATAGAAATTAAAATACATAATTTAGTTTCTGAAGTACCCGGACACACACTCAGTGCCACTTCAAGATGACAAATACATCATTCTTGTCTGGGACAGGCAGGGATCAAGCAGAGAGGAGTGAGCACGTAAACCAAATCACAGGCATTTGGTTCTGACGCTGCTTTCAAAAGATAAGGCTGGTCACATTATGCATATGCATTGTGACAAACAATGTTAAGGCTATTTCCTAATGTTTGCATCTTTGAGTAATATTTTAACCCATTTAACCTTTTTCAGTGCACTTTCATCCTGTTAGACAAGGGGAACCTAAGTTGCTACAGAGGTAGGCAACAATGACTTATATAGGGAAAAAAAAACACAGTATCTTGAAATAAAAGAACAGAAGTAACTGGGGAGGGGGACAGAAATAGTGTAGATGTATTACAAACAGAATTACCTCAGCAGAAACACTAGTTAAAACCAGTTTTATATATAGTTACAAATGACTCTTTCTAAACTCTGCATTTAAGGTTTCTAGACTAGGTCAACTATTCTACTGTTAGTTTATAAACTCTTCAAATTACTGACATTAGTATAAGGAATAAAAGAACAGCCACTGAAGCCTGTAGGAATCACTAATAGAAACCACTAGTTTTGGCATCTAAATGTGCAACAGGGTAACAACAGCTTGGCATTCAGATTGTGGAACAGCAGGAAGAGCTCTGCGTTCAGCAGTGTTTCTAAGTAATGTGCATTTCCGACAAAATATGCCTTCATCTGTCTACAGTTAGATAAAAACCATACATAATAACATTCTGTTTAAAGTGAGATTTGCACTTGTCTCCAGGAAACTGACAAAGAAAGAAGTATGTGTCCACTACAAGTGCACACAAAAGAGTGCATCTTGCTCCCCCTGCATGCCTGTGTAGCTTGTCACACTCTGGGCAGGCTTTGTAATCTGTATTACTAAAACCACCAATTATTTAATAATTGAGCAACACACACAAACACCCTCTCCCAGGTGTAACTGTTCAGTTAAAAACACTTTAAAGGAACTTTAGATTAAATATTAACTTTTTCTTCTTAGACTGTATTACTAAGCAGCACGTAAACCATATAAGTCAATACAAAAAAACAATCACAGGTATTTAACGGGAAGAACAATGTAAGAGACATATTACACAGCTGAATCTGAAAGGCATTTTTAGTAAGAGTTGCTGCTAATAAACTCAGAGTATCTAGGCTTCTTTTCCAGACCAACATCATTTACATTCTATCTTTGAAAAGAAAAAACATTCTGCCATTCACTCAAATCCTTCTAAATAAAATGCTTTCATTTCTCTGGTGTTTGCTATTTAGACATTTATTATAGGCAAACTAACGAACACTAGCAAACTGAATTATTGCTTTCAAATTGTAACTACTATAAGTAATTATTTTGCAAGAATAAAGACAGATACAAGAGCTAACCTAAGCAGCATAGAAAAATACTCACCTGGTTGCATGTGTCTGCTAAAGAATGTATAGCTTCTGAAAACATACTTGCAGAACCCGTGTAAACCCAAGCAAGTAGCTTAAAGAAAAAATTCAACCCATTTCTGAAAACAAAGAGAAGAAATAAGCTAAAGAACACCAGAATTTCAGTCTTTAGTATTTTCAGTAAAAACACAAGCACTATATAATCATGCATTACCTGCCAGCAAGTAGTGAAACTAAACATTAGTTCATTAGAGACCTGTACAGGCAGATAAGGCATACACGTGTTTGGCATGTTTACTGTGCTAAAAAACCTTTCAGCAAGCAAAAAAAGCAAAGATATACAATTATTTTTTCCAAAATCATTAATTTCTAAGCAATCCTGAATAAATTACACTTCCTAAAAGCTACCATTGTTTTCACAAGTCAGAAAGACTAACTGCCTATCTATATATGCATCAAGCTTTTCCCCTCAGTGGAAAAACAGCCTTAATTTCCTTCTCTCTTACTTCAGTCCTTTGCCTCCTATCTAGCCCCTCCTACTACTGGAGTGGAAAGTTTCTCACTCCAATCTCAGCTGGAAAATTCCTAAGAGGAAGACACCAGATGGGAAGATAATGCTGTAAAAAATATCAATGGGGCTTTCTCCACAGAGATGTCCAATGTGCCTTGTCAAGTATTTTTTTTTTTTTAGGTTAAAAATAAGCATTATGTTACGGTGTATACAGAGCAGAGTAACTATTAATGGTAAAATTTAATTAATTACATTCTGATAATGGATGTTCAAAGTATCAATCAGTAGGCTGGTCATTACAGTCACAGCTTATGGTCTGATTTCCTTTGTACTATCTTCTCCTCTTTCCCTTTAAATACATTTCAGTTTAGATTATTGTTGATTTTTAAAAGTATTCAAATTACATTCTCTTAGAAATGTGTGTATAGTCTCAAATGAGAGTACATGTATATCAACTTCCTGAAGAAAGAGGTAGCAATCTTTGCTATATCTCCTTCCACGCAAAGACCTGAATATGCTGTACCATATTTATTTTAGTCTCAGGAAAAAATCTTAACTTTTACCAAAGCTAGGTAAAGTCTGAAAAATATTTACTGCAATGTTTTGAACATCATGCCAAGAAATAAAATTTAAACTCCAAAAACTGCTACTTCTAAAATACACAGCATTTTCCAATAAGCCTCTCTTCTGCACCTAGAAAATAAGCAGTTTTGTTTAAAACAACTCTTTGCATTTGTGTTCCAAAATCTGTAAGGCACACATTCACCAACAAAATGAAAAAAGTGTTGTTTTTTGAAGTGTTGAAACAAATATGCAATACATCCTCCTTGTTGCCAGAAGTACTGCCAATTTTAATGCAAAGTCTAAATTTAGTTGGTAACTTTAAAATGTACTGATGCATGGGGAGAATCAGGGTTTCTTTGAAAAAATACACAAATGCAAAAGCAGATCAAAATCACTTATTTAAATCAAGTTTTTTCGATTTACCAATTTAAATAACAATTACAACAAATTCAAATACAACAATCCAGAGAGAACTGTAAACTGGAAAAATTAAAGAGCATTAATACCTCCCATTATACATTTAACATCCTGAATTTGTTTCAAAAATAGCCATGCCAAAACCCTGACAGGCACACAGAGAACAGGAATTACAGGGAATTGAGAAATATATATGGTGTATTGCATCATCATGTGATTGTCCACAGCAGTTTGTCTTACAGCAAAAGCTATCAGTCTGATTTACATAACTATTCTTGTCTACCTACATAAAGCATTTATACTTCTGAAGAAAGCATGGTAAAAAAGAGTCAAAATTGAAAATCAAAACATTCAGATTCATTACGAAGAAAAGCATTTAGGTTCTAGATTTGAGAACTAACCATATTTCATCATAGCTATTTCCAAACAAGCAGCAACTTGTCATCAAGTATTTGAGAACTGCAAGAGATCAAGAGATACTGTAACTTCTTTAAAAAAGTTCCACAGAAAAACTGTGCAACATCCATACTAGCAGTAACTATATTTTTTAAACTTAGAAATCTTGGAACACTCAGTAAAGTCAGAGGGAAGTTTTCGGTCAAATGAGTTTCATGTTTTTTCCTTAGGCAAAAAGCATGTAGTTTTGTAGGAAAACTTCAAGAGATATTTCTTTCTCAAAATCTTGTTTCTCATCACACACACAAAAAAAAATCATTTTTCCCTAAGTTTCTATTTTGCTCTTTTATATTGATAGTGTCTTAGCAAATAAAAATTTCATAAATAAGTTTTATTATAAATATTTTCACGGGTTATAAGATGCAAATTTTAGCCATTCTGAACTTTCCAGCAATCCTGAGAAAAATTTAACATACCTTTGTCTATTTTGTGCCAGATAGTCACTGGGTTTATTTGTCAGGATTACTAGTTTCATTATGTTTCATTCAAATTGTAAGATGTGTGAGAAGCGGAAACCTCCTAAAACACCCCTTTATCAGTTGAAACACACTGAATAACACCAGAAAAAGGAATAATTTTCTGTTGTTATATAGAAGATTGTTTAAAAGCCTTTCACAAGACAGCAAGGAAAAGAACAACTTTAAATGTCTCCCTCTTCATGTCCTTCAAGATGTAGGGCTTTGCTTTAATAAACTGTTTAGCGTAATCACGTTCAAAAAATTTGCTCTTCTCTAATCAGTGATAAAACATCTCTCACCTCCATATATTGATGAATATACTTACTGAACATCTCTCCCACCAACAATGAATAAACAAATCTATTAATTTGAGTTACACAAAGGTATCTTTAGCTTGAATACACAGACTGTAGTTTCCTTTTCCAGGACAACAAAAAAATCAATGTTTTTTAATAATTGCGTAAACAAAACTTTTCCTTTTTAAACTTACATGCAAATAGCTACCATTACCACTTTCCCTGGTCCCTTGAAAAACATAGCTGCTGTACTGGAGCGTGGCTGTATAAAGAAATAAGAGATTATTAAAACAAGCCACTGAAACAAAATAACCAAATCTTGAAGACCTCACAAAGTATCTACTGAACAATTTATTAAAATCTTCGCTTTACACAGTATTGCAAAAGTGAAGATACAACTCTTGAAGCCTACTAATTACATCTGAACGTTTACCCAAACTGCAGTGGCATCTTATACATTACTACATATAGATACATAATCTTATACATTATTACAAATGGATGGCTATAAAAAAGACAAACAACCAACAGAGCCTCCAGCCTCCACCAGAGGCCACTGCAACCATAACAACTGAAGCCAGCTGTGCAGCTGAAAGATTAAGATATCAGCCTACCGTGACAGAGTATCTAGATAATAGTTTGCCTAAGCAAAGAGGAAAGGCCAAAAGTAAAGCAAGGTGCAGAGCAAAGTGTTGGTGTGTTTGTTTGGCTAAAGAAATCTATTACAGTTTAAAATCAACAATGTATTTACTACACATTTATGGACTATAGGTAGAATCCAAACGAAGCTGCAATTTTATTAAGAAGGCAATTGACAAAAAAAATTACCAGTTTTTTGAATTACCACCACCACAGTTGGAACTCATTTAAACTGGCAACCCATTTACCACTGCATTATAATCAGAGCTACAGCTGGCATATTACAGTTAAAATAAATCTTCTAGTAATATTCAAGTAGTTACACTTATGCAACTGTTCTGTAACATTTTTTTCCCTTTGAAAGGTGCCAAGTACATCTCAGAGCATTTTTCTTACCAAAATCATTAAAAAATCATTTTTCTTACCAAAATCATTAAAACAACTCTTACCTTAGTATTTCCAAAGAACTCTCTGTATTCCTTCAACAGCCTTTGGTTTCTAAATAAATCTGTAATAAAAAATTGTTATCATGAGTATATACTAATAGCCAGTAGTTTCAGGAATTTTTTTTTTTTTTTTTTCTCCATACAGCAGCTAACTTCTATTAAGAGCAAGATGGTTTTACCAAATAAAAATGTTTTAAAGGGATATTTGTTTGTGAAAAAGTCCTCTCAATATTGTTAATCAGAAATACATATTATGTACTTGCACAAAATGCCAAATATAATTTGCTATGATCCCATACATTGTTTCCATTTTTGCCAACAAAGGATTACATGCAGAGGGAAAAATTCAAAATACACTATTTTGGCTAAGGTTTTTTTTGGCCTTTCAGTTTCCCAGGGTGGGGATGATGACACCTTTAGAACCAAATTCAGGCATTCTACTACCCCTACCTCAACCTTTTTTGCCATGATGGGGAGAAGGGAGGATGTTTCATCGCAAGTCTCTTAATTTCAATATTTTTCCTACCCGTGTATGGTGTTCAATAACTTCAAAATAAACACAGGTATGCTACGGAAGAAGATGTAGTCCTACAAAGTTGTACAAAATACTCTGAAACAGCCAGTGGAGTACAAGGATAGTCTGTACAAAAAGGAAGTTACCACTTACAGTATACATTGTATCAGAATGCTATTATGAATAAGTAGGTTTTTTAATGTATTTTTTTTTCTGTATTATGCTCAAGAGTTATTTTGTTTTACTATCAGGAAGTTCCAGTTGCAGAATTGGGAGAGAGAGGGAGAGAGAGAGAGGGAAAAAGACCTTTAATTTTTAAGTGCATAATTGGAGTAAGTACCTTGAAGAGGTATTACCTCTCCTGAGACTTTAACTGACCAGACAGTCCAAAATCTATTAAAAGTTATACTGATTTGACTGTAGCTGCTATTGATGACAATAATAATTTCATTTTAAGCACAAGGATGACTTTTGCTTAAGAGGATGGGGGGGAGGTTCCCCCCTTCCAAAGCAGAGACAAGCTGAACTCATTTCAGGGGAAAAATAAGTTGGTAAAGATATTATATCAAGACTTAGATTTATTTTATGCCTTCTGAATATTCTCCAAAACCATTTAAGATATTTATTTTTATCTAAGATGCTCCCATCCCCAAAAAAACAAAATATGACTGTAAACCTCAACTGAATGTATTTTCTTGCTGTATCACAGAATTAATAAATTATAAGATAGTTAATAGATAACAACTGCATAGATAACAATGTGTTATACTATGCTATAAAATCTTTTTCAGTAATTGGCAATTTCAAATTTGTATGTTCTCAGTGAAATAACACACTCACCATCTAGTGGATTTCCAGTCATACTTTGTTGTTTACACTTGAATTTGGGGGTTGGTCTGTTCTCCCATGTGCCTGGTGACAGGACAAGGGGAAACGGGCTAAAGTTGCACCAGGGAGGTTTAGGTTGGATATTACGAAGAAATTCTTTACTGAGAGGGTTGTGAGGCATTGGAATGGGCTGCCCAGGGAAGAGGTTCAGTCACCATTTCTGGAGGTCATTAAAAGATGTTTAGATGTAGGGCTTGGTGATATGGTTTAGTGGAGGACTTGCTAGTGTTAGATCAGAGGTTGGACTCTGTGATCTTCCAACCTAGATGATTCTGTGATTCTATACTCACTTTCTCTGTACTTGATCTCTTCCTCTTTGCGTCGTTTTCTTTCTCTAGCAAGAGCCTCTGGACTACCCCAAACTTCAAGAGATCTGCACAGAGTAAAAGTACCTTAACAATTGCTCTGCTTTATGCAAGATACACTTGATAAAAACAACAGACCTGTAACTTCTTTATGGTTTAACTGCATTAAAAATGACTTTCCTAAAAACAGAACATCACGTTATTCTTTCTGACAAGAAGCCACATATTACTTTGCAGAACAAAAAAATGGGAGAGAGGACGCATGGGACAAGTTTTTCATCTTTGGACACAAGAAACATACCCTCCAGGTTTATATATGCCATGTAATTATTACAAAAATAAGGATATAAAATGTGTTCAGATAAAAAATAGAAAACATTATTGCCCTGAGTTCTAAAAGTTCTCTCTCATATAATGCATTTTATTAAATAATTCAAACATTTCCTTCAAAAAAATGACCTTACTTTGCCTCTACATCCGACCTCAGGTACACAGTGAAAGTCTCAGTGTCATCATGTGGGCTTCGTCGTTTAATTTTCCTCAGCTGGTCTAAATCACTGAGGAAAGCAGAGAAAGTTTAATGGAAAAAAAATGCATATTATTCTAATTCTACTTTTGTATCTGTGTGATCTTCCACAGTTTCATTATTAATTCACAGTACAAAAAAATGAACTTGTTTACTTGAGCCAGGATAGATACAACACATAAAAAAGCAAGCTGTCAATAGGAAGTTATTGAAAACCACTTTGTTTTCCACAGTCAGAAGTGCAAATCATGTCCTCATACTATGAACTATTATACATGGAAGACAGAGCAATAAAACATTTCCAGTGAATGATCTGAATCTAAGTGATTGTATACAAGTACTCGATAAGAAGGCTAACAGATTAACGCTTCTGAAGGAATATCAGAAGTCACATGACATGAAAAGTTAACAAATGCATCCTTAAAAACTGTGCAACTAGGGTAAGCTGCAAAAGGTGGGAGATAAAACTATGTTGGGGAGCCAATAAATTCTCTGTGATGACCTACATATTAGGACATCTAAATTTCATTTAGAAGCATCTTTTTTTTTTAATTTAAAAACAAACAGGCAAAAAAATACCAACAACAAAGAAAACAGTAGAACATTTCACTTTTAGCCCAACCAATCTAGTCTTAATCTTTTTTCTTTTTTTTTTTTGGTCAATTTAGCAAAACGTTATCACTGCAAAGTATGCTAGTTCATAGAATCACAGAATGGTTTGGGTTGGAGGGGACCTTAAAGCCCACCCAGTTCCAACCCCCCTTCCATGGGCAGGGACACCTCCCACCAGGTTATTCAAATCCCCATCCAACCTGGCCCTGAACACCATCCACAGATTCTCTGAGCAACCTGGTCCAGTGCCTCACCACCCTCAAGTGAAGAGTTTTTTCCTAATGTCTAATCCAAATCTACTCTTTCAGTTTAAAACTATTATCCCTTGGTCTATCACTACACTCCCTGATGCCAGCTTTCCTGTAGGCCCTCTTTAGGAAGGGGAAGGCTGCTCTAAGGTCTCCCTGGAGGCTTCTTTTCTCCAGGCTGAACCACCCAAACTCTCTCCATACGAGAGGTGGCCCCCTATGAAGCTTTACCAGTAATGGCTTAAAACAGGATTTAAGCATAATGTCAGAGGATTTCCCTTGGTTTGGTAACATATGCTACACATGAAAACTGGGGAAGAACAGCGACAGCAGAAAAAGTTATGAACAAAGACACAAAGCCTTTAGATTTAATACGGGTCACACACAACATGCATCACATCTGACAGACAGCTCAACTGACACTACTCAGTAAGACTTCCTGGCAGGAATGACACATAGTAAAAAGACAGTAACTATGAATCAAGTAAAAATAGTTAGGTTGCAACGAACCAGGTTGTATTTTATCTCAAATTACAGACCTCATGTAACATGAAGTTTCTAGTGATTAGCTGCTCTAGAGGCAGACATTCCCTAGGTAGGCTTATGGTCATATAAATATAGGTAAATTAGTTTAAGAGGCTACTACAGGGATAACGCAAACTAAGTGCGAGCTCCCAACCACAGTTACACTTAGTAAACAAGAGCCACTTATAACTATGTATACTGCAAAAGCGTTGGGAAAAAGTTGCTGAGCTAAGTCACTCTACAATCATTATTACTTTTGAAACACATACAAACAAATATTCACAATTTCAATTTCAACTTAAATCCATCATACCTGGATTTGAGACAAAACTCATTTATTGCTCTGACTCCAGTGATGAAGTTATTCTGCGTGTATTTTGGTCCATACTCTCTTTTTTTAAGGACTGCTTTCACTTAAAAACAGAAATAGATGAACAAGTCAGTCACTGACAGAGACCGAAGTAGAAATTCCAAAGAGGTAATTCAGTCTGACAACAAGTTGCGATGGCTCTAAGTGGATTTCTGAAAAACACTGTTGTCAGTGAGGCAGAAAACTTTCAAGAAGAGACAGAAATGCTCACAACTGTGTAAGTGCATAACAGTAGAATGATTCTACCTCAAAAAATGCTACTTGCAGTGTTGTAGTTCAAGGCCCTCAAACATCCCACATACTTAACTGTCACCTATGCACCCAACTTTAATGTCAGGGATGGGCTTTGCCTGTTAAGACAGCATTCAATTATGGCAGTGTGAAAAGCTTTGCTCTGGCAAATTAAATGACAAAGTACACTACTTCTTTTTTCCCCTACTATTTACCTGCAGAAGTTGGAATTGGTTAAGGTTTTTAATCTTGTAGACCACAGAGAAAACTCAGATGGTTGCATGTGTCATTTTGCTCAGCTATTACTGTCAAAATTAACACACTTAATATTAGATGCTTTTAACAATTAAGATGTATATTCTTCACTTATAATTCTTTGCATGTGCAGAATACATACTGCATCATATTTTCATGCCTAAGAAAGGATACCACAGCTATTCAGAAATAGATAATAAACTCTGAAATAAATGGAATTTTAAATTTATGCCTTTATTTCCTGCATGTCTTTAGGTACGTATATATCTTTGTCTTATCTTCAAAAGAAAATCATTATATGCTTATTTCTGTTAAAAATGTTAGGCACATTGCAAGAAGAGTTACAGCTGCTGAAAGATACAGCATAAAGAACACATCTAAAAACAAAGATATGAAACTTTGCCAGTAAGAAGACTTATGAACACATGAATTTCTTGTGTATCACAGCATCTCAGCCAATATTTTCTACAGCTAGTCCAAAACTTCTCATGAAATCATAGAATACTTACAGCATCTAAATACTAAGAAAAAAAATCCCACAATTTCACATTTTCTTATTTCTGTGTTTTGAAAGCTTAAAGGCAAAATATATTGCTTGACACTTAACAATTTGCTAACTATGTAGATACCAATGTTTACCATAATGATCTGGTTTTTGTCATCCAGTTTGAGTTGTGAACAATTGTGTTAAAGTACTTGAGTAATCACATTCATCACATGATGCTCCTGAGCAAAGATGACATCAAACTAGAGATTTCATAAAAAGGTCCACTATTTACTACGTTTAAAACTGGATGAACATTTTTTTTTAAACAGGAAGAATGCTTCCCACCTTTTCTGATTTAAAATGCGGATATACACCCAAAGTATTAAACTTAATATAAAATAATTTGTGGATTTATCAAACACTAATGCACCTTGCAGAAACACAAGTAAGTTTCACTAAAATAAAACACTATGCAACAGTGTTACAATGGTTATAACCCAACAATCCTACCCCTTAGTTCAAATAACTGCCTAAAATTGATGAAAAAAGTGAGAAAAGGAAAAATCAGCTTGGTATTTTCAATTGAAGGACAAAGTCCAATAAAAGATGATGTATAAACAACATTATAAATAGCACAGAGTTTTTAAGATTAGTGTTCCTTTAAGAATAAGTTTCTATGTCACAGCAGCATCTGAAGACTTCCACTTCACAGACAGAATCAAGATCTTTAACATAATCATTCTTGGTTGTGAGTACAGAGACAAAACCCCCTTCTCACCAAAATATACATACATAAAATATATAAATTTCACAGTCTTACTCTAATTTCTCCTGTCCACCTTGTATGTTCCCCCTGCCTTCATGCACTAAGTGACAATAAACCCAAAGAAATTAACATAAGGGATGCAGACAAAAATGTATGGAGAATAGGAGACACCGACCTCACCTTGTTAGTGAGGAGTATGAGAATTTGATGTTTCTTTAAGCTATGGAAAAGGCAGGAAGGAATTCTGATAGAAGTTATTGCACACTAAGTTCCAGTTCAAAGAGATTTATTTTAAAGGAGTTTAAAGAGGAATGGCAATTTCTGTTATGATAAAGTTCCTTCCATTCATAGGAGGCTAGGATTGATCAAAAGAAAAAGAACTTACAGCTTAACTCTCATAATAACATAATAAAAAAATAAAGAAAGATAAGAGAGAAATCAAACATGATAAATTAACAACATGAAAGTAAGATATGCTCTTGTTTAAAAACCTAAGTGTTTAAAAAACAAAAACCTGTATTTATTACAGGCACAAACAGGGACACTACAGGACCCAGATTAGGCTGTTCATGTGGTCAAAATATATTTAGAAACAACACTGATTAGATTAACTCAGCAATAAGAAGGAACAGAGGAAGACTTAGAACAAGGACTAGGGGAAGCTCAAGTATTCAGCTTAGCCCCATTAAATCTGAGATGGGGAACGGACTTGCCTAAAGAGATGCAAGGAGGACAGATTGTCATAACAGATGAGAAAACAAGTTTGTCTTTTCCTGAGAAACACATCAGCTGAAATGAATTAAAGAGTCATAAAAGAGTGAATAATTAGAAGGAACATTCCTATACACTTTCTTTTTTAAGTCATTTTAAAAAAAGCAGGCACCAAACAAAGCTGGCATACAAGCACTTATAAAAATGTTATTCTCACAACTTTTTACACAATCGAACAGAAACCAGTTACTCTACACACTTCTTTTTTGACTACTTGTCAACAGCAACAAAGTTTTGATACATAAGGTATTTCTTTACCTTTTACTTGGATTGGGTCTTTGAGGAAAGATTGCTTTTGATCTGCATTGCTGGTACCTTGTCCTGTAAAATAAAAATACAGATCATGGCAAATATGGAAAAACCTTCTTTTCTTTTTAGTAAAGAGTTTCCTTGATGTAAGAATACAGCTTAATATTGCTTTCCATGATGATACAAAAAAACCTGCCGGATTTCCAACATTGAAAACTCTTAAAATATGAAACATGAATAGTAAAAAAAAAAAATAAGTAACAACAAAAGACATTTAACATAGTACTGAAACTTCTAGCAGCTTCAAAAGCAGTCCAAACATGCAATCTATAACAGAACATATATTGAATTTTTAAACTATTTTAACAGTGTACTTATCATTTGGGGCAAATTTTATGCAAAATTTAGACTAGTAAACAGAAAGAATTCTACACGGCTTATGACTGCTCATCAGCCAAGTCTCATAGAGCTCTCAAGCTGCTATTCAATTTTAAGGGACTGAAACTATTTAACTTACAAAAATTCACTCTTTAAAATAAAGAATATTTAAACTAGAACCCACAACTCTTATGTCACAAATTTGAGTTATATTTAGCACAAAGTATTTTTGCTTTGGAAATTTGACAATATGACTCTAGAAGAATTCAATAAAATATAACTTACAATACCATGAAGTGAATCTTAATATCTGAAAATTAATAAATTTTGGTAATTTATTGTAAAGCCATAATTTGGTAAAAAGTGGTATTTGGTAATTAAGTTTAAAGTGAAAATTTTAAGTAGAAACTAGAAGTACTACAGGATAGTTTAGACAAATATTGCATCTTTTCTCACGCATTTTGACACAGATTTCAGAATAAAAACCCTATGATATTAATATCTTGAACCAACGAACACCTTCTTTTGTGCCCTAACACTATAGGTTGGCCACATATCAACAGTCATCAACAAAATTAGAAGGGATGTTAAAAAAAAATTAAGATTTTTTCTAAGCAGGTTAGCGTTAATTAACAAGCTAGTTTAACATGATACTCAAATTGTACAAAGGTCAGATATTCTTCAAGCTTGGACTCCATAACTGTCTTTTCATCAGGCAATTAGTTAATGCCCTTACAGCAACTGAGGAGTAAGGCTAAGAGCAACCCAAGTATACTTTCTCAGGAAACTATAGGTAAGGAAAACACTTTCAATTGTACAAAGCTGATCTTATTACACAAGAAATAACGTTTGATCCCCTATATGAAGCATGGATACAACTCTATGTATCCCAAAACAAGCCTCAAAGCAATTATCCATCTACACATAATATCTCCAGGGGGCAGTTCCAGGTGCACTTGCCAGCCCCCAACCTTCAGAAAAAAGGGAGTTGTTGAGGTGGCCACTTGGTGCAGTTACACTTAGCATGATTTAAGGCCACAAGACCACAAAGGACAGTATCTCTCTTCCAGCCATTATAGAGACAGCGAGCAGAATCAGCTTGAGGATCCATCTGAACCCCAGCTCCAAAAAACAAGAGCACAATTCATTTTTTAACAAAGCAAATCTAAACATTATTAATGTCAACACAAGAGGGGGAGTAATCAGAGAGGGATGGGAGATGGTGGGAACAGTCCCTCAGACAACAGTCACCAATTATACAAGTTCAGAGCAATCACAAAAGCAATGTCACCAGACTATTTTCACATGTCCGAACTTCAAGAACACCAGAAGCTGCACATTAAAAACCCAGGAAAAAAAAAAAAACAACTAGAACTGACTCTACAGCCTTTCGTGGCAACTAGGCAGATATCTTCTGCAAGATTCTCACCCTATAGCATTCACCTGCAGCTTAAGACTTTCCAAGAACCATAAATGGTCTGAGGTACTGTCCTTTTCTAAAATCCAATTATAATCTTCAGAAACCATATCTAGTTTGCTACACTTTGAGCAACATCCAAGATCTGTTGTACTTCCAAACATCAGAAAAATAATACTTTTTGCTGACTATACTTCCTAGCTTTTAAAGACTAGCTTTTTAAAGACTGCTGCAAAGCCTCAGGAATTTACAAGTTACTAAAGTTAGAACTTAGACCTGCCAACATGACAACTAAAGAGAATAAAATGTTATTGAATAAACCACTTAGCTTTAGACAAAAGCACACGGAGAGAAAGCTTTTGTTTTAAAAAGCATTTGTAATCGCTTGAGCATGCTAGTCTTTCAAAGATGCATCTATGAAGTTCTACACTCAATAAACACAAAAAAAAAAGGAGATGCTAGGATGGAGCAAGGACAAGACAGTTCTGCATTTCTTAAACACCTAACTCACACAAGATTGACAAGAAAATAGGATTGGCAGCAAGTAGGGTCAGAAGTTATGTCCATTATATCAGGTGTTTAATGTGAATGCTGCAGGTGTGACAGCCATCACATCAGAAAGCTCCAGCAGAAGGAACAGCTCAACCTTCTTTCAGCAGTCACCTAAAGCCTGATCCAGAGAAGTCACAGTACTCAGTATTCGCCCTAATTCAATCTTTATCACTAGTTCATTTAACACAACAAACCTGCAATAGTACGACAAAAATTCAAGTAAGCAAGGAAAGCAGCAAAAGAAAAGGGATGCATTCCCTTTATCCCTTATACAATCTAATACCTGCTGACATCAACACGTTTTTATCATCACAACTAAGTTTGATTAACTCTAAACCTAAATCCTTGGGAATCCTATGGAATAACAAAGGAATACATTTCAGAATTCCTTAGTGCCTTTGAAATTAATATACAGATGCCAAGAAGCAAAAAGTACTAAGAATTCTGCAGCTGTAATGTCACACAGTGGAATTAAAGAAGTATCAGTTGTGACATACACATTTTATTTTATTTTATTTTTTAACATTTATACAAAAGTTTTCTTTATTTTAGTCCAGTATTACCTGTTCCGACTTTGTTCACAGTTTCTTCAGAGGTTGGTACATTTTTATCTTCTGATCCAAGATCTTTTTTCTGACCACTGGAGGTATAAACTCTCACTTGACTCATCAACTGCACAGGCAGACGATTGCATGGTAAAATACATGGCAGACTCACGCTTTTCATTGAAGCTTGCCATCCTGACAGGAGGAAGGAAAATAAGACTTTTCAGACAACCATTTTGAAACGAAAATGGAAGGAAAGTGGCCCAGAAACACCAGCACAGGTTATAGAAAGTCAGTGTTTAAGTACTGACCTGTGCTTATTTTAGCTCTGTTTAGGATTTACAAAACAGATGCACAAACACAGTACATTTCTGTTACCTCCTTTTAAACATCCACTTTTAAAATCCAATCTAATGCCATTTTTTCCCCCTTTATACAACCTCCTACATACCTCTAGATGATCTTAAGAACAAAAAAAATACTAAGCTATTTGATTAAGATTGGTTTACTGATATACATGTATTCAGTACTCTTCTAGTCATACTGCCTCAAGATCTTCAAATAAAACCATTAGTGAACAAACACAAACCACTACAAAACTATTAGCCAGTGTTGCTGTTTCATTTCACTGTGTACACTCTGTACAAACTGTTACCTATTAACAAAACGTGTAACATACACAGTTCAATTTCAGAGCACCTGCTAAAGAAGTTACCCTCAAAGGTGTGTTATGTTGTACAAAACCCTTTAATGAAGAACAACGTAAAATTCTACTATCTTTACAACAGACTAGATTACAATTTAAGTGAGCAAAAAGTCAGATGGGAGGTCACCCTGGGGAAGTAGTTTTAATTTTAAAAGACAGGCCAAAAGCGGAGTTGGATGCCCTACAGACCAACCTGTGCTAGCAAGCAGCTTGCTTTGGGCAGTACAAAGCTTCACCAGACACTCAGTGTAACTCCTCCAACCTGATGTGCCACAGGCAAACTATTTGCTTTGGAAAGCACGCATTAAAAGAAATTAAATATATATATCAAGCAATGCTGGTAAATCAAGTCATACAAAGTATGACTAATCATGCATGAATAACGCACTACTCAACAAAATAACTACGTTTCAGATAACTGTGGATCCCACGAAGGTACAAAGAACTTTCCTGTTACTTTTATCCTTTATATTTTGGCACCTAAATGTGTGGGTGCACTGACTTGAACCTTCCAGAAAAATAATTTCACTTAAAAAAAAAAAAAAGTCAAATAAGCTGTTATGAATGCTAAACTGTTGCCAATGTGGCAAAAGCCCAGCCAGCCACCTGGGTGCCGCTCAGGGAGCTTGCTGATGATGACTTAGGAAGGAAAGGCTGCGGTGAGCACCTGCCACGACGCTGCTCCCGAAGCTTTGGTGCCAACGGAGCACTTCGTTAAAGGAAGGTTATCAGCACGTTTAGCTGACGGTTTTCCCATTACTCTACACAAGTAGAAGAAACAAATAAGGAAAAAAAAAAAATAGTGCTGCGATGCAACCTAAGTGCCTTTACGAGATCTGAGCAGGATTTTAACGTCAGGGGCTCCGTGGCCTGCAGGACAGGCAGGGCCCGCTTCACACACCCCACAAACCCCACAGAGCAGGGCTTTATTTCACCTAACTCCTACAAATTTGGCCTCCCACCCCTTAACCCAGGCCTGGCGGGGGGGGGGCCGTAGGCCGAGGCAGGACGCGACCCTCCCACCGCGGCAGCCCCGGAGCTATGCGGGCCGGGCAGGGTCCCCCGGGGCCGGTCGGGGCCCGCCCGTGCGGCACTCACCGTGGCAGGCTCGGCGGAGCGCCGCCGCCTGGCCCCGCAGGTAGAGCCCGTAGAGGCTGCGGCAGCCCCGCCGCTGGGCGGCCAGCGCCGGCATCATGGCGCCGAGCTCGGGCGGAGCGCGGCCGCTCCCCGCCGCACGCCAGCGGCCGCACAACGGCCGGCGATTCGCATCGGAGACACCGGCGGCGGCGGCGGGCTCCCTCCCGTCCTTCGCCTCCTTCCCCTCCTCCTCTCCCTCCGCAGCCCGGGCGGACGTGCGGCGGGGCCCGGGGCCGCCGCTGACTCACCCGGCGCCCCCGCCGCGCCTGCGCCGAGCCGCCGCCGGCCTCCCCTCAGCGCCCGGCCCGGCCTCCCCTCAGCGCCGCGCTTCTCCCCCGCGGGGTTTGGCCCCTTTGGTCCCCCAGAAACGCCCTCGGGGTGCTGCTGGCCGAGGGGCCGAGCGGTGCTGAGGTGGTCAGGGGTGCGGGCCGGGGCTGAATGGCACCCCGGGGGCGCCCCGTCCTCCCCTCATAGGGAAGAGATAACCGGGGAGCGTGCGGGACGTGCGGTGGGTTTGTTTGCAGACACCACGTTAAACACGCCTGCTGAAGCTGCTGACAGGAGTTCCCTGCGAAGTTTGCAGCATTTCTGTGCGAAAACCCTCATCTCTACCCCTAGCGCTGTCTTAAAACACAGCTCCCGGGTCGATGCTAATAAAGCATAATCTCATAAAAAACCCTGTTTCTTTCCCCAAAAAGAGGGCCCAGCGGCTGAGCGGGCGGCAGGTGGTGACGGTGTCTGCCTGCGCCGCCTCCTGCTGCTGCCCTCAGCCGGATTTTGGCTGCGGAGCCGTGAAAGTTCCCACTGTAAGCATACAATTAGTCTCACCGGCACCACGTCACTCTCATAAACAGCGTTTTGGCAACTTGAAGATTTTCCAGGATAGCTTAGGTAATCGCCTACATGACTCTGACAGACTGGCCCCGGCTGCCTTGTCTTCATTTGCATGCTGGGAGGAACACGGAAACTCACCAGGAGTTAGTCAGCTTGGCAGGGAGCTTTGGTAAATAATGTATCCGATAACCCACAAAGCATTTGACCACTTTGGAGAATTATTATGATGCCTGTCTTTAACATACTCAATTAGATTTCCAACTAGATTTACTAGCACATAACTTCTTTAACAGTCAAAAAGTGATTGGTATTGCCAACGTACATTTACCTATAAACTCAGTGGAGGCAGATTGAAGTAAAATACTTATGAAATAATTAACTTAACACCCATCCTCCCAGTAGCCCAATCACAGCCATACCAGGTGAATCAGGAGCAACAGATGCTGTATCATTACCTACCAGATGTACAGCAATTGAGTTAAATACTAAATTAACTGCAAATTGTAAAGTTACAAAGGTGGAGTCATTTCACCAATTTAGGTGGTATGCTACATTCAACCAATGCATGGTTGGCTGGCTGCTTGTTATTTTGGCAAGAGCCTAACAGAAAAAAAAAAAAATCCTTGTTTTTTAAATTCCTACCATAAGTGTTATAAATATGGATCATGAAGAAAAATAACAAAGCTAGAATAGCATAGACAATAGATACTACTGGTATGGAAGTCAACCAGAATTTACATGATCAAGGGCTCCAAGTGAACTGAACCTACACTGATGAAGGCTGAAACCTGTACAAGTCAACAACCAAAACATCAATAACAGCCTGAGCAGCATGGGATAACCAAATACATAAAGCAACTGATACTGAATTGCCATGTCTCAGTGTATTCCTGCAGCATCCCAAGACAAAATCCCAAATCCTTATTTATAACATCACAATCATTAGTTGTCAGTCACAAGCAGTGAGTGGAAAAACCCTCCAAGTAATAGAGAACTGTTTACATGTTTTAGTACATCTAAACTTATTTAATAAGTTTTCACCTATGACAGAAGACTAGATACAGCCATAGTGAATGGGTAAGATACTGGTTCTCACTGAGGGACACTTACTTTCAACATTCAGAACTGCATCCTAAGGTTTCCGCAGAGAATAACAGTTATTCAGTAGCTATTTTAAGCCCTTATGCTATGAAATCAAGCCAATATTGAAAAAAAAAACAAAAACAAACAAACAAAAAAAACACACTAATTTATGTTTGATTTTCTACATTTTGAACTGATAAAAAAATATTTAAAATCTCCTCAGAGATCCCCATTATGAGAGGGGAAAGCAGAAGGCAGATCATTTCCCTTAATAATCCCTTACAGGATTTTCCATTCATTAAGTGATGCTGCAGAGCAGTTGTATATTAGTGAATCTGACAGAGGCCACTGAGCCATCGGAGAACTCCTCTTTCAAGGTTATATGCTGCTTATATGCTGCACCAATGCCTTCTGAGCACCTGGCAAAGGGACAGAGCAGGTTACCAGCTGCACCACACAGCCACCTGGAAATACCTGTGGAGGCAGTTGGGGCCAATCCTGCCCAGCAGCGCCACTGATGAGGATGTTTACCCTTCTCCCTTAGCTGATGTAACTATCACATGAAGATTTTGATATATTGCTCATTGAATGAGGAAGGCTGGCTACCATAAAAGGGTCATTTCCTGAGTGGTTTTTTTGGGGGGCAGAAAAAGCTTTTTTAAAAAAGGAAAACACCATAATATTAGAACTGTGTTGAATAAAGCGTGTTACCTTTTCAGTAAAGGCTTCTAAGGATTTTAAGTTGCTTTATAGCATTACAAAATCATTCACAAAGTACAGGGACTGCATAGTCCAACCCTTTTAAGATTTAGAACCCAATGAAAAGCTTGCAAAATTTAGCTGTAAGCAACTTTAAATAAAGGCAGATGAGTGAACTGAAATACAGACCTTGGGAACCTACTTCTTCTGCATTCCTGTTTGTTTAAAAGAAGTTGATAAGTGACTGAATTACTGAAGCTACAATGTGACCTTGTGCTGAAATTCTCCAATGTTACTGCTTATCAAAAAAAAAAGTCTGTGACTTGGTTAAGTCTAATATACAGTGAAGGATTTTAGCATTCTTTATTTGAGAAGCGATGCAACAAAGCCAGTTGGAATATTTCCAACTCTGAAATTCATTAACAATTTCAAGTACACTGGAGGGGATTTGCATGACCTCAGAACAGCCACAAGATCTCAGGTAAGGACTTCATATAGTTTAAAGAAATTGCTGCGGTATTCCCATAACATTGATATGTTAAATGAAACACACACCGGCAGTGTTTTTAAAAGGAAGAGACTGTTTTGATTTTGTAACTTATGATCCTATTCACATTTTGCTAACACAAAATGTGTACTGATAATTTTGTGCTTTTTTTTTCCTAAATGTATGAATACAGAAAGGGATCCAGTGATCCTAAATAGCCTTTAAATTTTCCAGGTAACATATTTAAATTAATGGAAAAAATATTTTGTGGCAGGTTGGTGCATGGGGAAATGGCTCTTCTGAAGCAGAAAATGACAAATGTACAACTCCACTCCAAGTCCTGTACTACTCCAGGTCTGTAAGTATTTAATTGCTACTAGGTCAAAGATCAAAATAAACTGGAAGTAAATATTTTTAGTTTCCTGCATGTGGGCAGGAGTTTGTAATTATTCACATGCAGTTCATCCACCTAAACACCAGCAGTCAGCTTCTTGAACTTCATCCAGCTACAATCACCAGTTCTTTTGCTCCCAGCAATAATCAAGAGGTCCCCAACATTGCTCTTGGTCCCCTCTCACCACAGGCTGACCACCTAATCGTTTCCTTGGGCCTCCAGGTGACACAGGCCTGATCTTCTGGGAGGCAAAGCAGGAGTCAGTACTGGTGGAAATAAGAGAACAAGAAGAGTAGGGTGGGGGGTGGAAAGGGATTTCCAGAAGAAAGGAGAGCAGAAAGCAACAGGAAATAGGGCAGGGAAAGAAAGGAAGGAATATCAAGGTAGGAGAAAGATGAGATATGGGATGGAGATGGACAGCAAGCAGGGAGGCAGATGTATCATTTAGTCCTTTACAAGGCATCAGGACAGCACAGGTTCATCTCCATGGTTTGGGAACCCTCCATTGCTGCTGTTGTTGGTACACACTGGAGAACTGGGCAGTGGTTCACCCCCACCCTGGTCAGGCCCTCAAGAACCCTGTCAAAGACTGGGGCTCACCAGCAGTGAGCCTGGAGCAGATCTTCCAGAGGAGGGGGTGTAGCAAGTGATAACAGGTGGATTTGCATCAAAAACCAATAATTTAACATGCCAACACAGACACTTCTTTTAATACTCTTTAAATATAGTTTTTATAAAGGAAAGTATTATGCTTCTACAGAACTTGCTCTCCCATTGGTGAATGGGGACACTTGCATGCCTAAACAAGAATCAGTGGGACTTGTAATGGGTCACATGCAACTATAATCAAATCAGGGAAAAGATTCACACAGCTGTGCACCTATAATCACGCCGAGTATACCCAGAAGTGTGCACTGAGTGGTTATCTGAGAAAATGGGGGTGGGAAGATCACTGTTCCTGTATCAATAATCCCACACCTACACACATCACTGACTACACACGTAGGTAAGACTTCGATTGTAAAGCAGCAATAGCCTAGCAGAATCCCCACTCCTTATTGCTTAATGTAATTACTGTGCTTTATGTCTGCAAGGATTTGGCAGTAAAGGTTTTAAAATCTTAGGTAGAATATTATGGGATGCTCTGAGATCATAGGACCTTTTAGTTTACTAACAATTGTGTCAAGCATTTTGGCTTGTGACTGATTAGTTAAAGAGTCACAAGTTCGTTTTCCCTTTGATTTTCTTTCTAATGCATAAGGAAAGCAGATGCTTGTGAAACCAAAGTGCAGTGACTCATGAAAATAACATTCTTGAGAAACAGGAGGAAAAAGTTTTAGCGTAGCCAATAGACCTGAGGTGCACATTAACGTGTTTTGCTTCACAGATGCAAGGCAGCCACTAGAGGTCAGTTGTTTGGAATAAAGTTAGCACATGAAAGAACAATTCCATTGCACTTCAGCTGACCGAATCAGTCAGGTAAAATTTCCAGCCATTCTGAAAGAGAACTTACTTCCATCCTAAAGCAGAAAACTAGTTCAAAATTAAAAAACAAACAGTGCTAGGTATATAATACTCACTCTGTTGAAGTAGCTACTCTTACCTGAATAGCTATATGCAGACATGCATAGGAACATGAGACAGGAAAAAGCTTCCGGTATCATCAGCCCCGGTCTCCTGTTACTGCATGTCATACAATCTTGCATGAACAAATCAAACACCAGCTTAAAAGCAGATCATTTCTTTTGCCCCCCCAAAAATTAAGAAAAAAATTTAGT